TGGGGAGAAAGGCCCTAAGACAATGGAGGAATGACTCAGGAGGCAAGAGGAAGACCAGGAGGGCGTGGGCACGACTGTAGAGATGTTGACCATTGGCGCTCTAGCCTGAGGCCCCGGGGTAACCTCGACAGTGTTAGTCCTCCTGGAGGCAGGATAAAACAATTATTTAATTATTTAGCAATAAATAAGTAAACAGTCAAAAAACGTTAATGCCTGGACCCAGCAGTCTCATTTCAACATTCTATTAAAGATACACTCCAAAACGCATCTACAGTGCCATATATGCAACTGTTTAGAAAGTCATTGAAGAACACTTGTTGGTATGAAGAGATGCTTGAGAAATAGTAAATGAAAAATATAGGTTACAAAGCTATAGTGTATTCCTTTGAAAAAATAAATTAAAATGGAAACGACTTAGTTATGTACTCAAATGCATATATTTGTATACCAAGAATGTTCATAGAAATATTTTTAATAGTAAAACAGGAGACAACCCAAATAAATGATGGTGTATTCACACAATGTAATATTCTACAGCGATGAGGATGAATAAACTACAACCACATTCAACAATGTCCACAGGTTAGAAAGTATGAAAGGTTGTGATTTCATTCATATGAAATTCAGCAGGCAAAGGCCATCTGTGCTCTTAGAAGTCAGAATAATCTTTACTTTATTAGTCAGTTTTTTAAATTGTGGGGAAATACCATAACATAAAACTTACCATTTTAGCCATTTTAAAGTGTACAATTCAGTGGCATTGAGCACATTCACAGTGTCGTGTGACTGTCACCTCTATCTAGTTCTGGAACTTTAAGCAGGGCTCATGGAGCGGTCCCTCCCCTTTGCTGCCCTCATGATGAACTGTCGGAGAGGAGAGGATAATGATGGGGGTGCCTTCCGGGGGAACTTCGAGACATCACTAATGTTCTATTTTTACAAATATGGGTGAAAATGATGTGGCTATGTTTGTGTTGTGAAAATGTACCTAGCTGTACATTTGTAATTTATGTACATTTGTATATATGTTATATCTAAGTACACATAAATGTGTAAACAAATGGATTGTGATGCTTTTCAAAAGAAAATGTCTTTCCATCAGAGGCAAAGGGAGTGCCACACCAGACTTTGCCTGGTCCCTGTTTTGCCTCAGGACTGATACTTCTGTATCTGTCCATCACCCTGCATGGTTCCCTCTCTCCCTGGCTGCCTTTCTTCCTGGTGGGTGTGGGAGGAGCGTGTGTGGGAGAGGAGGGAGAGAGGGCGTTCCAGTTCTCCTTGGCTGCAGGGTGTTGTGCAGAGGACTCACTCCCTGCCAGGCTGGAATTACTCTTCACGTAAAAGCTGGGGAAGTTGAAAAGAGAAGGTAGAGGCCAAGGTGAGCAGGCTGCGTGACTGGCCTAAAGGAGCATCGGGGAGAAACCAAGAGCTTCAAGAAAGCAAATGATCCTCTAGTCTGTCAAACAAGACACAAGCAACTACCCCAGAGAGAGATTTTCATAAAGGAAGCCTTCTTCAATCGTCTGACACCCACCAGAAGAAGAAAGGACTAAGCAGCATCTATGCATAAGCCTCCCCCCCCCCACCATCCCTCTTTCAGGAGTGCCTTTAAGCCACCCTTGTCATACTGGCACACTCAGTTTTCAAATCTCGGTTTTAATCTCCATGCCCTCCAGGCACAGAGGCACTATTCACCTCTCCCTCCCCTGCTTCCACAGCTCCTCATTTATATCTCTACTGAGCAGCCACCATGTTGTGTGATAAGCCTTTGTTGCCGAACTGTGATCTCCTTAATGGCTGGGACTAGGTCTTTTTGGTCCATGCATCCTCAACACCTGTGCACTCAGCACACGTGGCTCTGATTGCTGAAGGTAGTCCTTCCTGCCTCTGACCCTTTCCCCCAGCGGTGTGACTGTATACCCTTCTCTTTCCCTTCCCTTTTCCATAGGCTGTTATCATTCAGTCCTTTCCTTGGTTCCAGGATTTCTTTCATTCTTCAGATATTATCACATGTCTACATAGGCACTTGCCTGGAAGCTGGTGGAGCAGATCTGTGGCCTACTTTCATGTGCAGTAAGGGGCTTGCAGTCACCCCAGTCCTTCCTTTTCTGGTACTTGTCCTGCTCTTCCTCCCCCATTCCAGGAACTGAGCTTTTAAAGTGGAGCATCCCCCTACACAGTAAAAGGCGTCAGTCCTGTACCAGCCCTTTTCCATATTTGTTGAGCCCTCACAATATGCCAGGCACTGTGCTGGTTCATGATCCCGTGGAAGAGACAGCAACACCCTAGGCTGGTTCGTTGACTTATTGGACATCCTCTGGAAACATAAAGCAAGTTACTGATCTAGTTCTTGCTCAGGCATAGCTTCCTTGAGGAACTGACGTTGCTGCCAGATGTTCAAAATTAAGTAAAAGGCAGCTGAGGGGGAAATGGGTAACAAAAAAGCCAAGGGAACTCCATGTTTAAAGGACCGTGAAGTGTGGAGGATGGAAGGGACAGAATATTCGAGGATCATAGAGACATTGCCAATATTTGAAGTGTAGAGATGGAGGTGGTGGCCCAGATGAGGTGGAAGAAGTAGGCAGAGAGGGAATAAGACAGAGCCTTGATGTATGATAAGGTTGCTTTAGGCAGGAATCTTGGTTGAAAGTGATAAAAATCCACCTAAGAAAAAAGGGAAGCCTTTATCGGCTCTCAAGCTAAAAGTTCAGGGCTTTCAAGATCAAAGATGTCATTGAATTTTGACACCTCTTTCTCTATCTCGTCTTTGCTCTCCTTTGTGTTAACCACGTTCTTGGGCTGGCCTCTGTGAAAGGGCCTTCTGATCCACCTTGTCACAGGGAACCCAAAGACTGGAGTAGAAAGAAACGAGGTGAGGAAGGCTAAGTGATAAGAACCACCCACCCTTCCACTGTTCACGACCTTCAAGGTCACCTATTCAGACTGTGTCCAGAAGTCCTCACCTTAGACCACTTGGGACGGGACAGAAAGCTTGGCCTTTTAGGGAATTTATGGAGGGAGGTAGAGAGTGGGACAGGTGAGGGGGCCCTGTTTCCAGACTCCAAAGTTGTTTGTTTTCTTAAAATAGCAAACCCACAGCCCCCTGTCTCTTCCCCTAGGGTCATGTTCTCTGGGGCACCCTCGGCCTTCCCAGGAGGCAGGATCATTCGGGTTCGGTGAGAGAAAACAGATGGGCGGGACCCCAGAACCCCCGACTGGCGCCCCCTCAGGCTGGCCCGCGTCCCTCCGGACTGAGCGGGCCCCGGCCCATTCATTTGTCCGACCCGCGCAGTTCCTCCGCCTCTTCTCCAACAGCCTGCAGGCCCTGCCCCAACCTCGGGCTCCAGGACGCCGCCGCCGCCGCCCGAAGGGCCGTCTGCTTTCGCTTCCCGAACACCTGGCGCCCTGGCAGGACCGGCCAAAGAGCGTCCCGCCCGGAGACCCCGGTTTCCCGGGGCCCGGCGCTTCCGCCTCCGGGCGGAGACTCCTCCCCTCGCCGTCCCGCTCGCACTCCCCGGAGCAGCGGCCAGAAAAGCCTCCGCCGTTCGGACCGGACCCGCGAGAAGCCGGTCCCTTCTCGCAGCCCACTCCCTGCGCCCCGCAGTCGCCGCGGCGTCGGGCCGAAGGCCCAGCCCCGAGCCGAGCGCAGGCGGCGCGAGCGCGGCTTCAGCACCGCGGACAGCACCCGCCGCGGCGCCGCCGGCCGGTCTACGCGAGGCGGCGAGCGATGCCCGCAGCATGGCCTGGCGCCCCGGCTCCGCGGCGCTGCTCCTCGGCTTCGGCCTCCTCCAGCTGTGCTCAGGTAACGCCGGAGCGCCCGCCGCGCTCTGCCTCGCCCGGCCAGGCTCCGAGGGGGGAGGAAGGGATTCCTGGAGGTGGGGGCGTCTGCTGGGAGTCAGGGGAGAGACCTTCGGGCCTGCAGGGAGCCCCGGGAGACTGAGCTGGGAGGAGCAGTGATGAAAGGAAGCGACAGAAACCTGGGCAGGGGTGGGTGGGGAGGTGGGGCACACAAAGAAGGAGGGAGGGAATCTCCCCAGGCTTTCTAGGTCGTCAGGAGGGCAGCCTCTGCGGCTGAGATGCCATTGACTTCTTGTGAAACATTGTGTCAAGACATCCACCTGGCTCAGCACCCTCCCTTGGCTCTCCATCATTCCCCTGGGCTCCTGATTCTGTTGCCCATGCCCACCACCTTGGGCTCCTGATTCCGGTCACTCCACAGAGGCAGGGAAGGAGGGGGAGAGAAGTGACTTTTCAACGGTCTCGTAGGGTGGGACAGGAGACTTGGAGGGGAATGAGCTCTGCCAGGCTGGGGCCCAGGGAGGACCTCTCTGAGGGGATGGCGTGTGTTTGTGCAGAGTTACAGAAGGAGAGGAAGTGTATGGAGAGCAGGTGCAAAGGGAAGGTACAACCTAATGAGACTTCTACCCCCGCATGTCATCTCCTGGGGTGTGGGATCCTGTATATTTGAAACTTGGGACTAAATATGCACCCTGACCCACAACTTAGAAATTCCAGCGGTTCTACTCCAACCCAGTACCTTCGAGAGTGGGGGTGGGGTCACAGCCAGTTACATGTGGAGGCACATCATGTGACTTGAGTGCATAGATGAACACGGACTGAGGGGAAGGGGTGTATGGTGGGACATGAATAACCTTCTCTGAATTGTAGGCATCTTTTAGGAGAAGCTCTGGAAACGTGCATGTCTCTTGAAACCACTCTCTGAGACCTTAGAGGAAGAGCAGGTCTCCACTAATCTTTACAGAATGGTTTCTTGGGCCGGAGACATTGGTGCAGGGCTGTCTGGGCAGCTTGGGGCTCTCCGGGAAGGGTTTCTCTATGAGGGGCCTCTATAGGGAACCAAAGCATTTTGATGTATCCTTAGGGATGGAACATTGGGAAGCTACAGCCTCTTGTTTGGGCCTGGATTGACCCCCTTGCCTAGGGGGGGTGGGCCTTTTTTGCCTACTTACTTACCTCTTGCCCCTCAATCCCCTGCCCAGGAGTCTGGGGTACGGATACAGAGGAGCGGCTGGTGGAGCATCTCCTGGATCCTTCCCGCTACAACAAGCTCATCCGCCCAGCCACAAATGGCTCTGAGCTGGTGACAGTCCAGCTTATGGTCTCACTGGCCCAGCTCATCAGTGTGGTGAGTGGGCTCCCAAACTCTCCGCCCAGCTACCGAACTCAACACAGCCAGAATGTGTTCATATTAGTGCTGACTCCTCTGGAGTTCCCAAGGCCTGGGAGCTGTGGCGGGGCCTGGGGGCAGCTGTGGGGGGCCCACAGGTGGGGAGGCCTTTGCAGCAGCTTCTCTTCTGTCCTGCAGCACGAGCGGGAGCAGATCATGACCACCAATGTCTGGCTCACCCAGGTAGGTGCTCTTCCTGCCCACACCCTGGTCTTTTCTTTCATCCTTTTTCTTTTCTTCTTCTTCTCTTTTTAGGTGCTTTCCCCTCTTTTACTCTCCTGAAGAGGGGCAGAAAGGCATAAACTTTGGTGTCCTAAATAACTGGATCTGAATCTTGGTTCTTCCACTCACCAGCTCTATGACTTGAACATATTAAACTCCACAAGATTCATTTTCTCATTTTTTTAAGGAGTATTATAATTACATTTTATTGTTAATTGGTGGTAATTCTTTTTTTAAAGATTTTATTTATTTATTTTTAGAGAGGGAAGGGAGGGAGAAAGAGAGAGAGAGAGAGAGAGAGAGAGAGAGAGAGAGAGAGAGAGAAACCTCAATGTGCGGTTGCTGGGGCCATGGCTTGCAACCCAGGCATGTGCCCTGACTGGGAATTGAACCTGCGATGCTTTGGTTAGCAGCCTGTGCTCAATCCACTGAGCTATGCCAGCCAGGGCTCATTTTCTCATTTGTAAAATGTAGATTCTAATGTCTTGGCTCAGCTGTGCAGTTTAAATGAGAGTGTATTTTATAAGCCACATTTGCTGGGCAGAGTAGTCACCTTGGAAAGGTGATGGCTTGAAAAGCTTCCTCAAGCTAGATGGGCCCCTCTTGTCACTATCCTTAACTTGTGGGCCCCTCCCAAGCCAGAGGTCGGTGCTGCCTCCCTCTCTCCCTTTCCCAGGAATGGGAGGATTATCGCCTCACTTGGAAGCCTGAGGAGTTTGACAACATGAAGAAAGTTCGACTCCCTTCCAAACACATCTGGCTCCCAGATGTGGTCCTGTACAACAAGTAGGTGACCTTGGAGCAATGGGAAGGCTGGGGGAGACCATGGGAGTGCTCAGAGAAGGAAGGGGTCTCGGGGGAGGCAACTCAGCTCATGGTGGGTGCAGAGAAGAGTCTCTTCCTTGGAGTAGATGCAGGCGCTACCCAGACAGACAGACAGACGCAGACCGGTGAGGTATAATGTGGACAGCCAGGGTAACTCGGCCCACTGTTGGCCCCGCCCAGCCATTCAGGAGTCCCAGTGTTTGGAGCTGCTATGGGATGTAAGCAAGGACTCATAGCCTCCAGTGCCTAAACTGATTCGAGGATAGGCTTTCCTGGAGGCTTGGTCAGGATCGGACAACCCGGAGGTCTCACTTCCTCCTCCAGGTGCTATGCCCTCTCCTGAAATAATCCCTTTTACCTCCAAAACCGTTATTGGGACCATCTCCTGCTCCCACCTGCCTCTGTCCCACACCGTTGCTTGGGGTGCCTCACTCTGGCCTCCCTGGCTCCCCCAGCTTCTCCACCCTTACATGAAGCAAACGGCTTCCACAGTGCAGGACAGGTAGCAGCCACACCCCCCCACCCCTTCATCTCAGAGGGGCCTCACAGTTCTGAGCAGAACACCCCTTCTCCCCACAACCCCCCCCCCCCAGATATGGTTCCTGCTCTACCTCCCTACACTCTGGGCGGTTTCCCTCAGACCTGGGTTCCCCCTCCCGTACCTCCCTTTGGCTTTCCTCTCCTCCTAGCCAGGGCTGGGTTGATGGGTGGGGGTGGAGAACGTTGGGGCCAGAGCTGACTGCTCATCCCTCGGCAGTGCGGACGGCATGTATGAGGTGTCCTTCTATTCCAACGCCGTGGTCTCCTACGACGGCAGCATCTTCTGGCTGCCACCGGCCATCTACAAGAGCGCCTGCAAGATCGAAGTAAAGCACTTCCCGTTTGACCAGCAGAACTGTACCATGAAGTTCCGCTCGTGGACCTACGACCGCACGGAGATCGACCTGGTGCTCAAGAGTGATGTGGCCAGCCTGGACGACTTCACACCCAGTGGCGAGTGGGACATCGTGGCGCTGCCCGGCCGGCGCAACGAGAACCCGGAGGACTCCACTTACGTGGACATCACCTACGACTTCATCATCCGCCGCAAGCCGCTGTTCTACACCATCAACCTCATCATCCCCTGTGTGCTCATCACCTCCCTGGCCATCCTCGTCTTCTACCTGCCGTCCGACTGCGGCGAGAAGATGACACTGTGCATCTCTGTGCTGCTGGCTCTCACCGTCTTCCTGCTGCTCATCTCCAAGATCGTGCCGCCCACGTCCCTGGACGTGCCGCTTGTGGGCAAGTACCTCATGTTCACCATGGTGCTCGTCACCTTCTCCATCGTCACCAGTGTGTGCGTGCTCAACGTGCACCACCGCTCGCCCACCACACACACCATGGCACCCTGGGTCAAGGTCGTCTTCCTGGAGAAGCTGCCCACGCTACTCTTCATGCAGCAGCCTCGCCGCCACTGCGCCCGCCAACGCCTGCGCCTTCGGAGGCGCCAGCGCGAGCGCGAGGGCCCCAGGACCCTCTTCTTCCGCGAAGCCCCTGGGGCCGACTCCTGCACGTGCTTTGTCAACCGCGCGTCGGTCCAGGGCTTGGCTGAGGCCTTTGGGGCAGAGCCCGCGCCGGCAGCTGTCCCGGGGCGCTTGGGGGGGCCGTGTGGCTGTGGCCTCCAGGAGGCGGTGGACGGTGTGCGCTTCATCGCGGACCACATGCGCAGCGAGGACGACGACCAAAGCGTGAGTGCAGCGCGCGGTCGTGGGACGTGAGATGCGGGGCCGCAGTGGAAAGCGGCCGCAGGGTAGCCGCGTGCACAGCGAAAAGGGCTAGATGAGGGAAACGTGCGTCTGCTTGGGGCGGTAGGCATGGGCGCTGGTCGGCGTTCGCAGTCTGCTTCCAGGTGGTGGCGCCGCCTAAGTTGGAGTCCATACAGGCTGACCTTGTGGCTCCCTGAGGACTAGTAGCCAGGGCGAAGATGCCCCATCTGGGGCATCGTTAGTGTCCGGAGGACGGCCAGGAAAGCGAGGAGGCCCTTCTGCGTTTGCAGTTGGCCTGTGGCCGTGTCCCGAGAGTTCCTACCCACCTCTTGCATTCCCAAGTCCAAGCTGTTAATTTTCAGCTCTCAGCACAAACCACAGCTGAGTCCTTTGTGTGCCTCCCCTGGGGGGGGCAAAACTAAGGGGAGTGCAAAGGGTGTGTGTGTTGGGGGGCGGTTAAGAGTTTCCGAGAGCCCGCTGGTAGAGGGGAGAACAATGCCAGATCAACATACTGCTTCTGCTGTCATGGGGCCCCGGGGATGGCCTCGTGAAATGTTTATGGAGGTGAGGGCAGGTGGAGGCTGGGGCTTCCGAGACCTGTCCTCCACATTGCTGCCCAGCAGGCGTTTTCTGTGACACTTCTTCAGACGGGGACTCCCCTGATTTCTGCATCTGGGAACCAAGTATAAAGAGTTGAGTGCCCCCACTTTGGGTTGTGGCTGGCCAGGCCCAGCCCCCACCCTCTTCAGTCTCCAGTACCTGGCTAGCTCCTGGCTGCTGCCCAGCTGTTGCCATGGTCACCGGTGATGTTTCTGCTGGGTCGCTGCCATTTTGGTTTGTGGGTGAGGAAGGGTGAGCTCTCTGCCCTACTGTTTGGAGGGAGAAGGAGGAGGAGGAGGACTTCAGAGCCTGGCGTTTGCTCGGGTTCTGATGGAGGAAGAGGGGCTGCCCAGGCTGGAGGGTTTGGGGTGAAAGCCTCAGAGCCAGCAGAGGCCGAGTGGGAGAGGCAGGGGTGGGGGTAGAGGTGCAGGGGCTCAGCCGTTCCTCTCCGCCTCCGCCGCCTCTGCTGCAGTCCGCTCCTGCCCTGTGCGTCTTCTGAGCTGGTGCTGACGGTGCAGTGACCTACTTGGATGCTTCGGAGGCATCTCAGACTCAACGTTCCCAAGCTGAGTGCTTAACACATATCCCCACCTCCTCCTCATCCATCTTTTAGCAAATGGAATCAGCTCCTTCCATGTGATGGTTTGGACTAAAAACCTCGAGTGATTCCCTACATTTAACTTTCTCTCTCACCTCCCTCACTGTCCAGATTCTCAGAAGTCTTGACCCGTGAGCACAACCCCCAACATAATCCTCAGCTTCCCTGTTCCTGCACCGTCTGCACGCTGCCCCTGGCTGTGGGCCTCGGTCAGCTCTCGCCCCGGCGAGAGCAGAGACGTGTGCTGGTGCCCTGGACTCAGCTCCTGTGCGTCTCCATCCAGACAGACAGTGTCGCCCTCCCCCGCCCCCGCCCCCTTGTGCCTCCTCCCCCTTGCTCAGCTCACTGGCTTGTCTGACCTTCCTAAGCAAGCTAAGCTCTTTCCTGCCTCAGGACGTTTGCACAGATTGGTCTCTCTGCTCAGAATGCCCTTTTCCCTTTTAAACATTTATTAATAACTTTCGATATCCTGTTTATGTTGTAGACATTGTGACCCTTTATCCCAAGCACGACAGCGTGCCCCTCCTAAGAACAGGGACACTGCCTTGCATAAACCAGGTTCAATGACCAAATTCGGGAAACTCAGCATCAGTACAATATCTAAAGTCCAGATTCAGTTTTCCCAGTTTTTCCGTGATGCCCTTGGTAGCATCGCCCTCATGTCAATCCATGGTCTCGGGACCATGGCAAATCCAGGGCATTTGGCTGCCCCGCCTCTTTAGTTCAGCCCGGAGCAGTTCCTCAGCTTGGTGTTCCCTGGTGTAAACCCTTTTGAAGGGTGCAGGCTGGCTGAAGGTGACTGCTCCTGCCACAGCTGGCTCCTCACATCCCCTCTTACTGCAGATGTCACCGCCTCCAGGAGGCCTTCCCAGACCACACTGTAAATCACATCGTCCCCTCCACTTCTCTGTCTCAGCCATCTGTTTCCTTATAAGCAGCCTGTGTACTTTTTAAATTTTTACTTATTTAGTGTCCATCACCTCCCTCAGTAGACTGCAAACCACAGGATGTATTTTTTTGTCCTGCTCTCTTTATATGTCTCCCGTGCCAGCATGGTGCCAGGGACACAGGAGGCACACATGTGACGGGAACGAGTCATTATTCAGCTCCTGGCTAAACGAAGGTGCGCAGCCTCTTCCCCCAGCCCCCGCCGGCCGGGCTGCAGGAGAGCTTGTGCCCAGGCCCAGAGCCAGGCTAGAGCGGAGCAGCTCTGAGGGGAGGCCACCACTCCCCCTAGAACCCACAGAAGTCACTGTCTTTTTGACAGATTTGTTCACATCCAGGACCCAGTCTTCATCCTCTGGGGCCTGCATGCTCAGGCAGTGCCCTGGGACGGGGCTCCCCTGCGGTCACACAGGGAGCAGAGGGAGCCATCCATTCGCTAATTCAAGACCCATTTCCTGGCTCTCTGTGTTCCAGGTGCTGGAATGACACAAGTACATTTGATGGGTCCCTGTAGTTTAGGAGTGGGGGCGGAGGCAGACATGCAAATTGAAGTGATGGCACAGTGCAGTGAAAATGCCGTGGCGGAAATGTGTATGCAGTGCTAAAGGAACCTGGAAGGGACAATGGTTCATTCTGATCAGGGGGATCAAGGAAGCCTTCCCAGAAGAGGTAACATTTGATTTGGGCTTGGAAGGATGTGTAGGAGTTCAGCAAGTATAGAAAGGGAGGACCAGAATTCTAGACAGAAAGGAAACCCAAAGACACAGAGACCCGAGAGGACCTGCAGGGTTTGGTAAATCCGGGTTCCGGCATGGAAGAGGGTGGGGGTAGGCGCACATTGTCACAGCAGGGTCTTGATTCCAGATCTGGGAGTTTGGAGAGGTCCTGGGGGCAGTGGGGCCACTGGAGGCTTTTAAGCAGGCAGGACTGAAACCATGCTTCGGAAGGGTCACTCTAGGGTCATGGAGGGAGAGAGTGATGTGTGTGCGTAAGGTGTGACCTGCTTATCACCACCCCACTCCTATCCCACGTCATGTGACTGATACACCTGGGCATCATTTGTCTCCCGTCCAGGTGAGTGAGGACTGGAAGTATGTTGCCATGGTGATCGATCGCCTATTCCTTTGGATCTTTGTCTTCGTCTGTGTCTTTGGCACCATCGGAATGTTCCTACAGCCTCTCTTCCAAAACTACACCACGGCCACCTTCCTCCACGCAGACCACTCGGCTCCCAGCTCCAAGTGAGGCCCCCCCGGCTACGTGCTCCTTCGCCCCTTTGTCCTCTGTCGTTCAGTAGTTTCGGGTGGAGGTGGATGAGCGACCAGGAAAGGGTCGCTGCCCACAAAGATCCATTCCTTCACATCGCCTGGAGCCCCTGCCCCCGCACCGCAGCCCACACGCAGCCAGCTCCAGCTGGGGGCTGGGCGGGCCGCTCTTCTCTTGCACCAGCCCAGGGAGAGTGCTGCTGGTCGAGGACAGAAGCGGAGAAGAAGAGGACGGAGACGTCTGAGACTTCCAGCCTGAGGACAGTGCCAAGGGGAAGGGGCCGAGAAGGGACAGAATCATCTGTTGCCTCCCAATCTTGGGAAGGGACGTGGGGAGGAGGAACAGGGGCTCCGACCCTGTGATAGGCTGGCTGGACCTGAGGCAGCTCAGAAGGGAGGAGCAAGAGCGGCCTGGACTTGACCTGACACCTGCCCCCGCCCCAGTGGACAGCAGCTGGGCAGAGGGTCCTGCCAAGAGGGTCAGCCTCCTGGAGGGAAGCTTCCAGCCCAGCCCCACAGCCCCTTGCTCCTGAGGGGTCCAGAGCCCAGCCCCAGTTCCCCTTCTCCAGTGACGAATTCTCACACCCCCTGGGTTTTTCTTCCTTTCCTGCCTGGCCCGGGTGTGGTGGGCAAGGCTGGGCATTGGGGAGCCTCTGAGTTTTGAGTCTTTGCATGACCTGCTTGGAGCCTGAGGTCATGTCCACAGGCTGTTTTTCATCCCAGCTGAACTGACCGTTTGTTTGTAGTAAATGAAGGGAGGATGTTAGCTGTAAGCAGACCCGGCCTTTTTGCCCGAAGCGGAGCCGGCTGCAGAGCGAGTGGCCACATCAGCGCTGCTCCTGCTCCGCCCTTCCCTTCAGGGCTCCATCCTTTCTGCTTGTGCCCACCCACTGCCACCCCCCCACCAACCCAAACCTGAGCAAGGCTGCAGTGGGACGGGGCTGCTGCTGCCAGCAGCGCCCCTGAAAGCATCCTGTCCTGCGAGTCCCCGGAGGCCGTATTCTGACACTGCTCCCAGGGGACAGCTGGAGGCCACCTGGCCTGTTAGCATAGGAAAGAGACCTGTTATGAGATCTTCTGTCCCTGTCCCTGCTACATGACGGGCTCTGATTTATGGTCCCAGCCTGTGCTCAGTGCTGGGCCAGCAGGTGGCCAGTCACAGAGGGATCACTATGCCAAGTGCACTGAGGGGCCTGCCACGCACAGACCATGCTCTTCTCATGCCCAGCTGGGCCCCTGCTTCTCCAGGCACAGCGCCATTTGGCGTGGGGGCGGGTGCCAGTGGGTGAGAGGACACAGGTGGCACATGCGAGCACCAGGATCACATTCTGGACTCTAGTCCCGGCTGTGCCTCTTCCTCAGCCACCTGAAGGGAGTCTGCCTCGCTGGTTCTCAGCTTCCTCACCTGTCAGATGCGGACAGTGGTGCCCCTTTATGGGCTTGCTCTGAGGGTGAAGTGGCGTTTGTGAAAAAGCCCCGTGCTTTCCCTGGCACAGAGAGGGTGCTCTGTGAATGTGAGGCAGTCGCAGCCAGTGGGAACGGGGTCCCCTGTCATGTCCGCCTTCCCCCAGACCCTCACTTACCCTGCCTCTTCCTCGGACAAACCAAGTCCCCCGGAACAGGGCCTGGGCCCGGGGAAACTGCGAGCTGGAGGGAATGCTTGTGAGTCTGGTGGGCAGGGCTCCCCCAGCGTCTTCAGCGGAGTCTCCTGCCTCTCCTGGGTTGAGAGCTCTGGCACTGGCCTTGACCTCCCTTCTCGGTCAGCTCCTCCCCATGCATGTGCGCTCAGAGCCCTCTGCTGACCTAACCCTGCCGGTGTCGTGTGCCTTGTCCCCAGTGCTGCTACCCACCTGCCAGCGTGGGCTTCTGCACATCTCTTCCGAGGGCTAGTGTCTTGGCTCCATGGACACTCCCTTCTGGAACAGCAGATTGATTTATTTTTATTGTATTGTTTTCTATTTCTGTTTAACCCCTCATAGCCCCTTTCCCCTGCAATCACCCCACTATTGACCATGGCTATGAGTCCTTTTTTCCTTTTTGTTCAAACAAAATAGAACAGCAAATTTCCAGTTGCCCGCATTGTGCTGGGCCCTGCCTCAAACTCACAGCCCTGAAGAAACAGCCTGGAACCTGAAACAGCAACTGGAAAGGAACCTTCCCTCTGAAGGGTGGCGTGCCGCCGGGGGCCCACCGGGCCAGCTCTCCCAGGCTCCTGGCCCCATCGGCTGCTGCTGTCGGCTGTACATGCTTTCAGTACTTCCCAAGTGACTGTTGTCCAAGGTAGTCAGCAGATGGCTCAGGGGACTTAGAGAGCAGCTTCTCCAAATCCTCTCCGAAACCCGCCTGACACCACCAAACAGGGGCCTGGAGGGCGTTTGCTGCCTGACCTTGCGCTCCCTCCAGCACCTAGCTCAGAACTTGCTCCTCCTCTTCTGTAAACAGAAGCTGAGCGCATCTGACCACATCTGACTGTCCGCATCTGACAGGTGAGGAAGCTGAGAACCAGCGAGGCAGACTCCCTCCAGGTGGCTGAGGAAGAGGCACAGCCGGGACTAGAGTCCAGAATGTGATCCTGGTGCTCGCATGTGCCACCTGTGTCCTCTTACCCACTGGCACCTGCCCCCACGCCAAATGGCGCTGTGCCTGGAGAAGCAGGGGCCCAGCTGGGCATGAGAAGAGCATGGTCTGTGCGTGGCAGGCCCCTCAGTGCACTTGGCATAGTGACCCCTCTGTGACTGGCCACCTGCTGTCCCAGCACTGAGCACAGGCTGGGACCATAAATCAGGCGGAGCAGGCTGAGGGCTGCAGCAAGGAAGAGAGGGTCGGTGTACTTGAGGGGTTAACTGGTCGGGGTCTGTGGGACAGCGCTATCCCCCCCCACCTCCGGCTGCAGCCCTTCAGGGGCCATCCTGGCTGAGCGGGGAGGGCAGAGGTGCAGGGAGGAGGACGCCGCTGCACGGGCCAGGTGTTACTCGTCAGTCCCGGGTTTGGAGAACCAGTCTCTTCTGTTCTCAGGTCCTCTGTCTTCTTCCCTGGGTGTTGTCTGGGCGGCACCTTGCCCCTTCTGCAGCCCAGCCGTCTCTGGAGGGAACCGGTAGCCTGGCTCAGCACTGGGCAAGGCCAGGGGCCCCAGACCTGTGGAGGGCGGGAGATTCTGGGTTGTAACCTGAGTGAGGTGGGCCAGAGGGGGACAGTGAGGAGAGACTTTGGGATGGTCTCAGTCAGAAACGGGAGACCACAGGTGCTCTGTAGCCATTTTTGTCTGAAAAGAGGCTCTGCGCAGACTCCCTGCTTCGGCTGGCTGGCACTGCCGCAGGAGGAAGGCAGTTTCCTGGCAGCGAGGGGGCTAATGCTCGGACAGCTGGTACCGAGTTATTGCAAATTTAAAAGCAAACAAGACAGGGGCAGCCCCCGGCTGGCACTTCCTGCAGGGGAAGGCCGCCTGCGGAGGACGGGCAGCAGGCTCCCGGGAAGGAGGCGGGGAATGCTCTGCGGGGAATGCTCTGCGGAGACTTTGGAGCTCAGACTCCCGTCCTGTCTCCTCCCACTTCCGGCGTGGCTGCCGTTCGCTGGTAGCCTGATCCCTGCCACGTGCTCCAGCTGCACCGCCTCTACCCCTCACCACGACCCCGCAGGGAAGGGGCCCTGTTGACAGAAGAGAGAACCAGGCGACATCTGGCGAGCAGTGCTGGGCCTGAAACCCAAGGCTCCTGGTCTCAGAGTCCAGCTGTCCTCTGAGGCAGGTAGCAGGAAAGTCAGGGCATCGGTCTGCTCTGAATTTGTTCCCAAGCCAGAGTGGCCCCGGACCCAGCTGCCACTCTCCACTTCACAGCCGGGCTGGTGTCACAGCATCCCTCACAGCCCACTGGTGCTGACCAGCCTCCCACTCACCCAGCCAGGCTAGACAGAGGACAAGCAGCTACCTTTAGAGATGCGTCCCACCAGGTCCCAGCGGTGGGTGTGAGAGCCTAGTGGTTGCTAAGGGACCATAGGGCTAGGAATCTTAGGACGCCTCACTCGCCAGCCCGCAGTGCCCCCTTCTCCCTGACACTGGCCTCGGTTGGCCTCCCTTGTCTGTCTTCCTGGAATATTTGCACTGTTCAGCCTACTCCAGGCCAGATGCATTAGGAACTCAAGATTCTCATAAAGACAAGTTTCCAAAAATGTTTTGTCTCTTATATTGGGAGGGGGGAGGATCCTCAGGGACCGGCTGCATGGGAAAAAGGGAGAACTCAGGGAAAGCTGCATGCATGCAGTTTTCTGAAGAAAACTAAAGCAAAGGTCAGTAGTAACAGTTCCATTATCGTGCTGTGTTGCCTCACAAGTCTGTCCATCAGATGGAAATGAAATGCCTGGGCCTGTACTAGACAGAGCCCAGAAAAAGCTCCAGGGGAGGACCCCAGAGGACAGGGTAGAGGTGAGGATCAGTCTCCTGGAGGCAGGGATGGCTGGGGCCACCTCTCCCTGTGCTCTGGGAAGTCAAGGCCGTAGTCTGCATGGAGGCCAGAACTGCTCCCTGGACACTGGCATGACCTGGTCCCAACTCCTCAAGCTGGTATCAGTGGGCCCCCAGATGAAATGCAGGGTCACCAGCAGTGGAAGAAAACCCTGAGGTCCTGCAGGGCAGTCTGCTCTCCTGTCCAGCTGGAGGTGCACGGTGGGGAGGACGGCCTTGCTTCCTCCGCAGGCGCGCCTGGCACTCGCCTCAGGTACGAAGGAAATGGCCCTCGTTCTGAAATACTCGGGCACTACATTTCCCTCCAGGTGGAACCGGGAGCTGCCCAAGAACCAGACGGGTGCCCAGGGTCCCAGGGCACCCCAGCAGGCACATTGTCCTTCCCTGTCCGGCTCACCCAGCACCCCTGTGATACCCAGAGTCCTTCTGCGCGCCCAAGCATGTCGCTGGCCCTCCTGCCCCGCTGCTGTCTGTATGATGCATGAGGAAGCAGGCTTTGTTGTGACTTAGGCCCACCCCCCTGTCCTCAGGCATATCATTTTTAAAAGGTCAAGGATGAGCCCTGTAGAAATTCCGAACTAAATGACAATGTGGAAAGCTGTGCATTCTCTTTGAAATTCAAGATGAAGAAATATTCTGGGTGCCATCTATGAAGTAAAAGGCAAATGGTCTCCTGAGAATGCAGGCAAGCCAGCCCGGGTTCAGACTGCAACTTGACTCCGAACAGGCACAGCCCTGCAGGCAAGGCAGCGTGAGCGGGTGTGTGGGTGGGTGGGGGCGGGGGCGGAGAACCACCACCAGCAAGGGGAGGGGAATTCCGTGTGTGATTGGTGATACGGTTCCTCCCCTAGGCCTTGAAATCTTGCCTGTGAAGTTTCTGGGAACCAGGCATTTAAGGGTGGGCTCTGGTGGGGTTGGGGTGGGGCATGTACCTGGTGTAGCTCAGCCCACCCAAACACAAGCTCGCCTCCCAGAGGGGCCGATGAAATGGCGAAGAGGGCGGCCCTCTCCCCAGGCGCCAGGTGCAGCCATCGCCCCCACTCTCACCTCCCCAAGAAACCAGGACGTGACGCTTTCTACCAATTCAGATCTTTTATTCAGGAGGAATGTGGACAGTTAGTCTCTGTTAAGGGGCACACAAAGCGGAATCAAAACCTGACTGCGGCCATCGTGGCATCCAAGTCCCCGCGGGGCTCTTCCCTACTCTGCTCTTGGGAGTCTCTGCCAGGACCCCCAAACCAGCAAAATCTCTTAGAAGTGAGTAAAGGAAAATAGCTTCGAGCAGCGACAACTTTTACAAGTGATTACTCAAAGAATGCACAATAGCCACAGTTCAGACAAATCAACTACAAAGATCATTTAAAAAAAGGTGGGGGGAGAGGCAGAAGGGGGTCCTGCTCATTAAAAACAAATAGTGGACGAGAAAGTGAAGAGAGGGATTCAGGCACGGGCTCTGCCTCCTCTGTCCCATGTGACTGAGGGGCATGGGGCGGGGGCGGCATGGCTGTGCAGGGCCCGACACAGGCTTGATTCCAGCAGACACGGGGGGTTCGGGGTGCCTTGCTTTCTTCCTACAGCAGAAACCAAATGCTTCAAGCTTGCTAGATAAGACCCTGGGGTGAGCGGGGTCTCTGGTCTTTTGAGAGCCCTGTGCTCCTGGTTAAAGAGCTAAGCCAGAGATTCTAGTGCCTGAGATGGACCAGGGGGGGCGATATTCTGAGGAACCAGCGGGTGACAGCCTCCAGCTGGGAGCAGCAGGAGGACCAGCTGCCTCCGAGGTAGGACTGCCCACTGTGCCTTCAGCAGACGCACAGGACTCGGCGGGCAGGCTCCCTCCGCTCCAGGAGACAGCGCCGTTTCCCTACGAGCCCCTCCAGACACTCGGGTGTCTGCAGACACCCTAAGTGTGTTAATAAAACTTGGGTTTCTCATTTGGTCAGTTTTTGGGAACAGTAGCTACAAGAATAAAAACAAAAGTATACACGTGGACATACCTACTGCTGAAGGGGGGGGGACAGGCGGGGTTGCCTAGTCAGCAGTGGGTGGGGCAGGGGAGGGTGGGAAACCATGGAGGGTGCTGGCTCAGCACGTTCACAGACGGAGAGAGAAGATTCCTCCAGAGAGGCCGGCGCAGGTGGCGAGGCGGCAGGGCCTCTGTGCCTCTCTGGAGCGTGTCTGCCTGACGCTGGCCTACAGCCAGGCCCCACAAAGAGCCGGAGGCTCAGACCACAAGTGTCATTACTTAAGGTGTAGACTGGGGACTCCCCCTCACAGAATCTGAGGACAACCTGCCCTTTGCCCTACGACTGCTGTCACGTCAACCCTGAAGAACTCCCCGCCAGGCAGGGACACCACAGGTGTGCGACCTGCCCGCGAACAGCCTTCTGGAGCTACCTAGCAGAACAAAAGCATGATAAACGCCTGGATAAATGGAAAATTGTATCTGAATTTCAACCTGTGCAATTACAAATTATGGCATTCCTTTCAACACTCCTAATTCACCCACGACTTAACTGGCCTCCCCTGGGGTCGCTGTCCTAAGAAATATGCTGGGTGGGACAGCGACCTGCCCCGACCTCGTTTCTGCCTTGTTCTTGCTAAGTCCTGTTTACTTAAGGAAAGAGGACAGCCCTCCAGGCCCTAATCCCTGTACTGGCAGGGCGAATTCCTAGGAATGCTTTAGGAGGAGCGACAGCTGGGGCCCTGGCGACACTCCAAGGCCCGCCTGTGCTCCCCTGGGAAACAGACTGGCCAGCCCTGCAGGGGGCATCTCAGCCGCCCCTCGGGCAATTCCCTCGTCCAGTCTGGCTGGCCCTCACCTTTCCTGCCACCTGGGCAAGGGACACACTTTGGAGAGGCAGCTGTCCCTGCCTCTGGGCCCCTCCCCAGCTGGCTAAAGTGCAAGATCCGAAGATCAATGAGTATTGTCTACAGATCCCAATCACACTGGGCACCAGGAATTAGCTGACTGCAGCTTCAAACCCTGTCCTTCTAACTGCCTCACTAGACTCTGTAGGTCCCCTGCTCACCTGCTTGGAGGAAAGTGAGAAGTGTGACCACAGAAGGGGTGGGGGGGCTTGCAGATGAAATCACCCACATGAGACCATCGTCCCTGACACGACTCACAGAGCTGATGGAACCTGCTCTTGACCACGAGAAGACAGGGGAGCAGACAGAGGGAAAGGAAACGGAAAACACCCAAACCCAACTGAAGAGGAGGTGGGTTGCGGGTGCTCAGTGACTGCTTATGCGTCGGGTGGAGAGACGAGAGAACCCCTTTTCTCTCCCCTTGGGAAAAGAAAAGGGACCTGGAGAAACTGGCCTGGTATTCCCAAGGGAAGCAGGACAAACAGGAACCCCGAGGTCTCAGTACCAGCAACTGTGGTTCCATTAAAAAGGGAAGAGAAAGAAAAAACAGGCCCCCACGTCCAATGTGCTGAGGGATGCTCCGACCGACGTCTCTCACCCTGGTGTGAAACGCCCCGCCCTACACTGTCCTGTGGTCAGTCGAGGGACCACAGAGATAGAAGTTCTTTTCCTCCTGGGGCTTGCTTATCCAGTTCCCATAGCCCATGTCCTTCAGGCTTTTTTTGAAATAGTTCTTGGCTGTCTCATAGTCACGGGCAGCTTTCTTGGCCTCACCATAGGAGAGTTGAAGTAGATCTCTGCGGCCCCGGAAGGAACAGAGCCTCTTAAATAGAAAAAAAATGTTCTTTTTGGAGACCCGGGACAATTCATTCCTCGGCCTGGAAAAACAGAAGGCATTCATCACTCGGCTGGGACCAGACATCGAGGGGAGCCCCGGGAGGGGACACCACGGCGGGAAGGGCAGCCCTAGAGAGTGGCCCCGCGCGACACCCTGTGCTCCCCATTCCTCACCCGTCCACGGTGCCCCTGGTCCCATCCAGGATCTCCAGGTCGTAGCCGTCGGCCAAACACCAGTTGACGCTCGTCTCCTTGGTCTTCCCGGACTGCCTTTTGGAGTCATACACGCTGACTCGGCCGACCTAGGAGTCGCAAGAGCGCCGGGAAAAGGAGGAACACGGCTCAGGAAAAAGGTGCTGGAGCAGGAACTCGGGACTCAGAGGGAAGAGGGACCACGGGCTCACGACCTTCCCCCTTCTGTAGGATTCTGTGTGACTGTGGCACGAGGTATACTAACTCCTAGATTCAGATGAATCCAAGACAAAAAGGAGGGCAGCCGTTGGCAATCACAAGAAAAGGGTAAATTCCTGGGGTCCTGACTAAGGCTGCCTTTGACTGCACTGCGCATGTTTGCCCTGCACACGGAGTACTTGAACAGAAGAACGTCAAGGGGAAAACAGAAGGGGTTACACATAGCACCTTGGGGTGGTTGACAATAAAGGGGTGTCGCAGTCCATCCTCAAATGCACTCCCGTCTCTTGTCACACGACAGCAAATGGCACGTGTCAGATGCCCTTGGCTGAAAAGGTAACCTGGGTACAAAAGAGAAATGTGCACACCTGTGTTTGCACCAAACGCCGCACTGAGCAGAGGCATGCAGGGGCAGGGGCTGGAGCTGGGGGGTGCCTGAGGGTACAAAACGGAGTTGTCGGGACGTTAAGGAGGCTGAACCGTGGCTGTGGCTGCCATCATCGAAGATGTGGGCAAAATGTGTAAGGTTCCAGGTAAAGGTCAGGGCTGGGGAGGTGGAGGAAGCGAAGACGCTGCAGTCTTTGGCTGCTGTGCTTCCTTAATTCATCCTGAAGAAACCTGCCTGGCACATCCTTGCCTGGGCTCGCTGCCTAAACCAGCCCCCCCAGCGCGACAGACCACACGCAAGGACTCAACCACTGACGACTGGGTCAGACACACTCTGAGAGGGGAGGCTTCACGCTAACACCTGGCCACGAAGCACGTGGTCTGCTGAGATCTGGGCACCAGAAGGACAGCCTGGTCCCGGCTCCCAGGCAGGCCCTTACCCAGTGTGACAGACTGGAGATACACGGGCTGCAGGAAGTGGGTCAATAGCGCCCCTTGCAGGCCCAGCACGTTCCAGCGCAGGATTTTGTCACTGCAGGACATGGTGCGGAGCCTCTCCCCGAGCCGGATGCCGTCCCACGTGGGCACGATGTCGCTGGACTCCACCGGGATCGTGCCTTCCCCTGCGAGAGACCCGGGTCAGACCCCTGGGCCGGAGTGCAGGGTCTGTTCCTCCGACTCGGGCCACAGGCTACTCACGCCTTCGCTCTTCACACATCCCACAGCGCCTACTGTGCGTGGGGCGCTGCGTCTGGTGCCGAGGAATCACGGTGAGCAAAACCGAGTGAGATCCTTCCCCTCCCCGAACGCTCACGGAGGTGTGAGAACAGAAGGGAAACGGGCCAGACACCGAGCGATACAAACCAACACGGACACAAGGCTACTGGGGGGCAACCTGCCCCGAGGGCTCTGAGGGACAGCAGGGCACCCGCGGGGAGAAGCCACCAGGGTGCTGAGATGCAAAGGAGAAGGAACGGTCGAGCGTGTTCAGACACGGGGAACAGGGCAAGCGGAGCCCCCGAGGCAGCAAGAGGGTGGGCTGTCCGGGAGCTGACTGCGGCCGGTGGCGAAGGAGGTCTGCTTTGCCGTGACGGGGAAACCACTAGAGGGGGCAGCTCCTCCTTCTCTAAATGACAGCTGGAGTGAGAGACAACTCACCCACTTACAGCACGCAACTCAGCGACTTTTCAGGGTGTGCACAGTTGTGCACCCATTGCCCCAATCGATTTTAAAACATTTTATTATCCCCAGAAGAATCTTCTAGCCCTGGCTGGCGTAGCTCAGTGGATTGAGCGCAGGCTGTGAACCAAAGTGTTGCAGGTTCGATTCCCAGTCAGGGCACATGCCTGGGTTGCAGGCCATAACCTCCAGCAACCACACATTGATGTGTCTCTCTCTCTCTGTCTCTCCCTCCCTCCCCTCTCTAAAAATAAATAAATAAAATCTTAAAAAAACAATGACAAAAAAAAAAGAATCCTCCGTTAGCAGTCACACCCGGTCTCCCCTGACCCCTCCCACCTCTTGGCAACCAGTAATTTACTCTGTTTCCATGGCTTTGCCTATTCGGAACATTTAGTATAAATGGAATCATATGTGTAACCTTTTGTGTCTGGTTTCTTTCACTTGTGTTTTCAAGGCCCACCCACGTGGCAGCATGTATGGGTACTTCGCTCATTTTCAAGGCTGAATGATATTCCACAGAATGGATGTACTGCTTCTGGTTTCTCCACTTATCAGTTTGGGCATTCGGTTGTTCCCACTTTTTGCTACGATAAGGAATGCTGCTATGAACTTTCATGTGCAAGTTTTGTATGAACAAAGCTCTTCATTTCTCTCGGAGAGAAAGACCTAAGAGCAGCTTAAGGACTGTGAGTGGGAAAGTGACACGTCTAATTCACGTGTGAGTGTGGCTCCGATGACTGCGGGAGGAAACGGGCAGTCGTGAGGGGACAGTAAGAGACGCCAGAGGCCAGTGGAAAAGGAGTGGGCAGACAAGGAGCAGAGCCAGCAGCAAACCCGGGGGCCCAGCACGTGGTGTCCCCCTCTGTAGGATTTGGGTCTGCCCCACCTCTCCCCCCCCCCCCCGCCCCATCCCCCAGGGCCAAAAGACCAGCTGTAGGAAGCTGACTCCCACACTGCCACTTCCAGCCAGGCCCTCGCCCCTGAGCTCTAGACCGTTACCTCTGCCTCCTATTTGGTCTTCCTCTTCCGGCAGACAGCTCCCCCACCCCCAGACCTCCCCTCTCCCTGCGAACAAGGCGCTAGCACCCGGCAGCTAATGGCAAAACCCTGGCATCTGAGTCCTCATGACCAAGCATGCGGACCTGGGCTCTGCAGAGCCCTCCTGGGGGGCGGGGGCAGGGAAGGCTTTACCACTCACCGTTCTCTACCTTGGTGCGCAGCTTGCCTTGCTTGGGGTTCTCGAAGACCGGGTAGTGGCGGGAGTCAGTGCTCTCCACCGCACGGTCGCTGCAGGACTTGTCGAAGAGGGCGCCGTCCCCGCAGGGGGCCGTGCTGCGGAACAGGGGCAGCTGGTAAACTTGCCCGTGCAGGCGTCTCCCGTTCCCTGAGCTCAAGGACTCTCCCTCGAGGGGAAACCAGGGACTTTCTCTGAAGCCTGTCACGGGTGACGGGGGCGGGCGGACTGTATGTGGGACTGACTCATTCCACACCAGGGCTGACAGGGGCCCAGGAATCGGCTCTGACCGAGGGACTAGGGGAGCACGCCGGCACCCCACCGGGCAGCGTGGCGACAGGCAGGGCAGACCTGATGTACAGGTGAAACGACACGGTCTTCTTTATCTGGAGCTTCTCTCCTCCCCGAACAGGTTCGAATATGCTGTCCTTTGCAGTCTGGGGGCTGTACTTCATCAGCTCGCTGTAGAGAAACCTGCGACAAGGAAGCCTGGCTGAGAAAACGTGTGGTTCTGGGGAGAGCAGCTGCCTGTGCTCCGGCCTCAAGGGAGAAGAGCCTGAACGCCTCGGACCTGCCGCGGTTTCTCAGGCGGAAAGAGGTGGTGGGAGCTCTCCACGGGAGACCTCAGCGTGTGTTAAAGCCCCGTCAGCCAGGGCAAGTCTCCCTTCTGCCAGGAGCGCCCGCTGTGGCAGGCGCAGGGTTCCCGGGCGCAGCAGACGGGTTCGTGGGCCAAGGGGGCCGTGGCTTCTCCCCGAGTCTCTCCACCATAAAGGAAAGGTGAACTGGAGGAGAAGGCCGACAGGCTGTCGGGTTTAAAGGTCCTCAGACGCACATGGAGGGCTTCCTCATCCCTGAGGTCATGCTGTGCTTCTTAAAAAAGGCACGAAGCCAAGTTAGCAGAGGAAGGGAGAGCACCTGACCGCAGGCCGAGAAGTGGGCGTGCCTGGGTCACGGGGTCAAATGGCCGACGCCGTGGCCAGGGGCCTGCCTGTCTGCTGGGTGCTGGCCCCCACACCGGCCGGTGGCAGGCGCAGCCATCGCCCCCCGCAGCCCCGCTCACCTGATGAAGCCCCTGCGGGAGATGATCTCCGCGTGGCAGTCGTTGACGGTCTCCCCCTTCAGGCTCAGCGAGTCTCCTTTCACACAGCGGTTCCCTGGAAGGGCATCGGCGGGAAACGGGGAATTCCCAAAGGGAGAGGTGATGAAGAGCGGGAGGCTGTCTGTTCTCAAGGCGTGAAGGCAGAGACGCCCTCGATGCATCAATCCCGACTCCTGCACCCTCCTCCCTGGGAAATGAGAACTCGCTCCCGGCTCTGAGTTAACTGCCGGCACACTGAAGCACAAGCAGGTCTCCGCCACCGCCCCCCTCCCCCCCGCCTTCAACTCGCCCCCGGGGGATGCCAGCAGAGAGTGGCCAGACCTGCTCCCAGGCACCGCACCGTGGGCGCACGCCTCGAAGCCTCACTGACCTGTCCCCAAGCTGACCACAACCCCCAGGTCGTCAGAGTCCTTCTTCATGATGATAGCAGCCAAGATCTTGCGGCCGAGCAAGGAGGGCTGGAAACTGTTGGTGAGAGCGTTGAAGCACCGGTGGCTGAGCATGGCTATCTGGTCGTGGAAGGTGCTGCCGGTGAGAGGGAGCTGTGGGGACGGAGGCCGTGTCAGGGCCGCAAGCCTGGGCCATGGCCACCTCGTCTCAGAGTGGGCGGGGGGGTTAGGTTCACACCACCGTGAACCGTCTTTCCCCTTCACGCCTGGTGTCCCGGTTCCGTGTCCTATAAGGCTAATATTAAAGCCCAGGAATAATTCAGATAATAGCAACTTAAAAGCTAACTCGCCCAGACAGGAGCTAGCTGGACCCCCAAAAAGACAGCACAAAAGTAGACGTCTTAACTGTCTTTGGCTGTGCTTCTGGGGACCTTAAGGGGAGAAGCACAGTTCCTCTGGGACCAGCCCCTGCCACTGGGGTTACCTCTGTGAAGCCCATGCGCTCTGCCTTCTCGTTCTCCCCAATCAGGACACGGAGAGCGGCGTCCGCTGCCTCCTGCTTGCCTTGCTTCTTGCTGTGCGCGCAGACGGCTGGGAACCAGCGGCCTCCGACTTTCGCTTGATAAACAAACCTTTGGGATGAGAAGCAGGGGGTCAGGACAGGCCCCCGAAATGGACGGCGGCTGGCATTGCCGGGGCAGCCAGTCCTGCCGGCACGAGGCCCGTCACTCGCACAGCTGCGTCCCAGGCGGCGCCGCCCAGACTCAGGTGCTCGGGGATCGCAGGGTGGTGTCTGCTAGACTCAGATACCACCTGGACGGCTACTTATGAAACATTTTTCCCTGAACTGACTCTTTTAAAATGTAAACACGTTTAACATGGAAATACCACACTGTGAAAGAAAAACCGTGTCACTCGTCATCATCTGAAGGTGGCTGCGAACTGAGTATGATGAAGCCATTGAATCTGACACCACTGCCTGCAGGCTCCGGGCCGGCCTTTATGTACAGAAACACCAACGCCTGACTCGGACTTTCTTCCTAAGCAGAAAAGGAGAAGCAAATAGCTCTCTCCCTGCTTGAACCACCGGCGTTGAACACTCTGATGTACCTGATTCCATTTTCCTCATCAGCTCAACAGGACCTAACCTCAAGAAGTCAAAATGCCAAGGTCTGCCTTAGTCCGGGGAACCAAGCTTTCACGAGGAAGCACTTTCTGACTCCTGGAAGCCTCGAGGCGGATATTGGGGGACGGGAGGGTCCCTTGGGCACGTCAGCTTGGCGAGCCGTGCAGGGCTCCAGTGGAGCAGGGAGGTGGGCAGTGCCGCTGGGGGCCCCTCCCTTCCTGGCGGGGGTCTCTCACACAGTGGGAAGAGCAGGACGGAGCGAAATGGCGGGGGCGCCGACCAGACCAGGGGTTGAGAGCCCTGGATTCCAACCAGGCCCTAAGCTGCTGGGTGGGGACCCTGCTTTGGCTCATCCGACTGCTCACGGGAAAAGCTTCCGTGTTGAGACTTAGCAGCTCAGGTGGCAGCAGGAATCGATCTTTACATGCGCCCACACAGAGCTTCCCACTGTTCCCTGCTTATCCTAAGCACCAAGAGCCTTCGCTCCTGACTTTGCTGCTGCCGGCGGCAGGGTCATGCGGGGCAGCGGGCGGAGGTTTGGTGACGGAGAGGGACAGCAGGCTGAGCGACACCGAGCACGTGGAGGGCTAAACCACGGGGGCCTCTGCCAGAGGGATCCTGAGATTTCACGACGGTGCCGTGTGTTTGAGCATATATCACAGATGCACCTGTGACAGTTTGTGAATTATGCAAATAGAACCCTTCAGAGTGGCCCTGTCCAACATGGTAGCCACTAGCCACACAAGCTTATTAACTTTAATTAAAATTCAACACAATTAGTAATTCAGTTCCTCAGTCACACTAGCCACCTTTCAAATGCTCAATAACCACATATGGCTGGTGCTTAGCCTTCTCAGTGAAACGCAGGGACAGGAGCTGCACTGGAATGATTAAGAAAGTGAAGACAAAGACTATAAATAATTCTTCGGAGAGGTCTGGCTGTGAGGGGAGCAGGGAGATGAGGTGGTACTGGGAGGGAGGTGTGGGGTCAAGGGAAGGTCCCTAAGACGGACAAGGCCATGTCCACAGGCTGATGGGAATTTCCCAGCAGAGGGAACGGCTGGTGATGTGGGAGAGAGGCCACTGAAGGCGCAGACGAGAGGACAGGGGCCCAGGCAGAGGGGTGGAGGGGAGAGGCCCCCTGCACCTGCTGCAACAGAAAGATGGGCAGGTAGGGAGGTGAACTTGCTGATGACAAGGCAAAATATTTGTCACATGAGTATTGCTATTTTCTCAATCAAGTGTGAATTAAGGTTACCAGTTTAGTGTGAGGAGGACGGGTTTTGGTGGAGATCTGAACAAAGAGGCGAAGGTCTGAAATAGTTTTTTCAGAGTAGGAAAGAAAATTCAGTACAAAAAAAAACAGCAGGAAAAATGCTGGGAGGGGGGCAAAAGTGGGAATGGGGGCAAGTGGCAGTCCTTTACGCAGAACCCTTCAGTGGGTTTCCGCTGCCCATGTGGTCAAGGCTGCAGGCCTCCCAGGCCCCGGGGCCCCCCGACCCTCCAGCCTCACCTGGCGCCAGGCCTCCCTGAGCGCCGCCCACGGCCCTGGCCTCCACCACAGCCCTGCAGGGGACTCTCGCCTTCGCCTAGTACCGTCCGCCTTCACCCCCCCCGCCTGTTATAACCCTGCGCTGTGATGGAGGGTCTGTGGTGCATTCTCTTCATCTTCCTCGCTTCTCAGGGAAGCCCCCTCCCCTCTCCTTACTGAGTCAAGTCAGGCCACGTAGATGCTCCCTGACTGTATCATGCAACTCCAGCCCTTTGGAATGCGTATCAACGTGGGAGCTGCATTTCATGTGATCACCAGTATCCAGCTCCTGTACTAACAAATAAATATCTGTTGGATGAATAAAGCAGGGAGATCAGCACACTACTGCCAGGGGTTACGTGAGAGGACAGTGGCTCAACCCAGAGGGTAACAGTGGGGGGGGAGGAAGGGGGTTGGGATAGAGATGAACGGAGCCCGAGGATGCGCAGTGCCGTCGTCTCCTGAGACGGGAAAGACCCAGCTCGGAAGAGCTTAAGGGAGCGAAAGTCAGGAGTTCTGCTTTGGACACATCATATTAGAGATGTCTGTCCAAGAAGAAGGGACACGTGAGCAGCTGGGCAGAGAGGAGTCTGAAGCTCTGAAAAGGCCTCCAGCATTTCGATATTAAAAGTCGTGAAATTGCTGAAGGTTGCCAGGAAGAAAAAAAGGAGAAAAAGAGGACCTGGGATCATTCACAGTAAGAAGGAAGTAACGTGTGTTACTGTATAACGTGTGTTACTGTACTAGACGTTCGACACTTGTAGCTTCTAAATTAGCATTTCCCCTCCTCTCTGCGACCTTCCTCGACTCCCCAGGCGGCACTGGCCACGCAGTGCACCGCGTCCCCACAGCACAGGGCATCACCGCCGTTACAACCTGCTGTGCTGTGATCAGTGTCTGCAGCACATCGCGGGGCAGGCGGCTTCTGAATCTTCAATCTAGTTCACAGGGAGTTCTTAAGTTCTGAATGAATGACTGACGTGAAGTCCCAGAGAGGATTTTACAGAAGATTACTGAAGGGAAAGAAGAAATGGATAAACCTACCACCCGAAGGATGAGGTTAAAGACCGGGAGTTTGAAGGGTGTGAACCAGGAGAAAAGCAGCTGGAGGGAGACCACGCCCCTCCTTTCTGAGCTGGCTTTAAACAGAGGGCAGAGTCCCACTGGTCTAACTCGTTCTAAATGCATCTGGCCCCTCGGCTGACTGTTCTAAACTGGGGCATGCTGGTCCAAGCGCGAGTTTTCAATGATGCTAAATGCTCTTATGTGTCAGTGAGGGGGAACGAGCCAGAGGAAAGATGGACAAGGACGAGAGCAGGCGGTTCACAGGAAAGGAAGTACGAGTAGCATAATCATGACTAGATGAATAACACTGCCTATTACTGTTTCAAACTAAGATACAAGAGACCATTTTTATACATTTTCCTTAGTGACTTTTAAAAATTGAAACACTGACTAACCCACAAGTAAAAATTCAAATAGTTAAGATAATTCAACTAGTTTCATTGTACAATGAAATAAGTGCCCCTCTTTCCCTAGAAGCACATACGATTAATGGGATTTTTATCTTTCATGAAAATATTCTGTGCACGTGTAAGTATGCTACTTATCTCCCCCGCCCTCGCTTTACGCCTGGCTTTCTCATTAGGAACATGCCTGAGGTGGTTTCGTATGGATACACCTCAGTTTCTTACGGTCTGGTACCCCCAGGCGTCAATGTGCTGTGGGCTACTTAACCAGCCTGCCAGTGTGTGTGTGTGTGTGTGTGTAAGCTTGTGTGCACGAGCATGACAAAGTTCCTACAGGTGGCACTACTAGGTCGGGAGGCACCGCTCTCCACCCTCCACAACGGTGCAGACGGTAACCCACACCACTGATGCTAAAGTCCATTGACAAAGTCTAATTTATGACAAAGCAAGGAGGAGCACCTGGTCATTTATTAATAATTCATTATTTTTCTTTTTCTGTTTTTCTCTATTTTTTCTATTATATTTGAAAAGAATCCCTTATGTATTTAATATTTAAAAAATAGCCTTGGGCCGCTGTTTATCAGAAGGGCTGTCCCCCCCCAGGGGTTTTTATGTGGGGCTTCGTGACGGCACATCAATTTTTCTTACAGTCAAATTTCTTTTTCCTTTATAACTGTTTTATGTCTTGACTGTAAGGGCTTTTTGCCATCCCAAAATTAAAAAAAAAAAAGTCCCTACTTTTTATCTAGTGCTTCTATGACTTCATTCACTTTATATTTAAATCCTGGATCCAGCGGAATCTGGGTGCAGGGAAGGAGCCGTCCCAGCTGGTTTCCTTCTCGGACGGACCGCCAGCAGCTTCACACCATCACTGAGTGACCCATCACTTCCCCACGGAGCTGGAGCCTCATCTGTCTAATGCACGGAAGTCCCACTCACGTCTCTGCCTACTCCTAGGCACCTCCTTCTGTTCCACTGACCCGCCGCCTCGCTAGCCACACGCCAAGACGGCACTATTTTAATGTTTGCTACAGCAGTTACTTTATTATTCTTTCAGTTTTCCTCTCCTTGCATCTTTATTTTTCATGTGAACTTTAGAACCTAAGTCTTCTGGTTCTAAAACAAATTTTAGTTCTAAAATAAATAAATTCCAATGGTGTTTTATTGGGATCGCGTTAAAGGTGAAGATTAACCTGGAGACAAATATGATCATTAAGTCATTCTATCAGTTGTCCCCACGTCACCAGTCTTCCTTCGACTCTCCAGCAGCATTTTACTTAAGGCAGAGCCCAGGTATGACGAGGTCTGTCTGGAAAAAGTCCAGTCACTGTTAATACAGTGAGAATGGTTTGTGTGACATCAATGTAACCCGGCAGCAAAGGAGGGTGGACTGGAATGCGCATGTGTGAGCAATGACAGCTTCACTGTACTAGTCAGTGCAGCAATGAATCTGCACCAAATTTTGCGTTAAACTTGAACTTTCCTCCGTGGAAACTACTTGTATGATTCAAAAGGCCACGGCTATGGGCAGCTGGTGACTGGCAGCTTCATGATAATATGCCTTGTGCAGACCTTTTTTGGTGAAACATCAAAATCACCCAGGTGACTCAGCCCTCCTACAGCCCAGATTTGGCACCTGCAACTTCTGGCTTTTCCCAAAACTATAATCACCTTTGAAAGGGAAGAGATTTCAGACCATGGATGAGATTCAGGAAAATACGGCGGGGCAGCTGATGGAGACTTGACTGTGTGAGGTCCCAAGGTGCCTACGCTGAAGGGGACTGAGGCGTCCCTGTTCTGAGTACAATGTTTTGTGTATTTTGTATCTTCTTCAATAAATGTCTCCATAAAAATAGATTTTTTACAGAGACATTTATAGAGACAAAGATAGAGACACATTACATGGCTGGGTACCTGCTGGGCAGACTTTGCACTTCTTACTAGCAATGTGCCTGCTGTTCATGTTTTCAGCTGCTGGGGCAGACAGGGTCTTTTCCCGCTGTGTTTTCTAATTGCTTGTGGCTGCAAGCAGAACAGTTCTTTATTCTTATACATTATTTTGTAATTCCCCTGCTCTCCTAAACTTTCCCTTGTCTCTAATATTTCTTCAGTTTTCTCAAGAATATTCCGTATATACATTATCTGCAAATAATGGTAACTTTACATCCTCTTTCCTTCCTTTATACTTATTTTTCTCTGTGGACTGCATTAACCAGCAGCTCCAGGACAACAGTAAATAATGACACCTCCCTCCTGACTTCAGGGACAGTTCCAGGTTCAGTGCTAGGTAAGTGGCTGGCTTTTGACTTCAGACGTGTATTTTTATCTTGCCAGGGAGGCGCTCAATAATTTCACAGACTAGATTTTTTAAAAAGTCTGAGTGAATGCTGAATTCTACTAAATGACTTTTTGGAATTTTTCTCCTTTGATCTATGAATATGGTAAATTACAATAATAAATATCCGAATGTAGACTAATCTTCGCACTGCACCGACGTGCCATCGTTCACACTGTGGAACGGCAGAGACAGAAATGCTGACGGTGCTGCACTCACCACTCACGGTGCGGGGGAGCCACTCTCACGCACAGGGCGCAGTGCAAGCAGGTTTGCGGTGGTCTGTGTGGGAAAGCAGTAACTGACACACAAGACTACGATACACTGTGTTTGGCAGACTCACAACTGTAAACCTAGTTTTTGCCCCACCCCACATTGCTGACGGAAGCATAAGCTGGTGTAATTCTCAGTGGAGGATGGCTCAGTTGGCTGGGGCACCCTCCATGATGCACCAAGGGTTGTGGGTTCCATCCCCGGTTGAGGCCTGCACACGAGGGAAATGGCTGATGTGTCTCACTCGCATCTGTGTTTCTCTCTCCCCCCTTTCCTCTCTCTAAAAATCAACAAACACATCCTCAGGCGAGGATTAAATAAATAAATAAAACTACACAACCCATGGTCCAGAAACTCCACTCCTGAAAGTTTAAACCACAGGCGTGCACACACATGCTTGCAGACTTGCACGTGGTGCATGGACAGTCACCACGGGGTTTACACCACACACTTGCTCGCACATGGTGAGCAGACAGCACACGGACAGTCACCGCGGGGTTTACACCACAGACGTGTGCACACACGCGAGCAGACGTGCACACAGTGCACGGACAGTCACTGCCGGAGTGTTTTTGTTGGTCAAACCGAAACCAACCTAAACGCCATTGGAAGCTGGTTAAATAAATCATGTGAGGGAGGGCATCAGCAGGACCGACATTCACTGTCTTAAACCAGGGGCACGACATCGGTGAACATGTTCGGAGAGATCCTCTATCTCTGGTTTAACAGAACCATTTAAAAACAGCATCTGCTCAACGAAACGTTAGGCAGCTGTGTACGATTCCACTGACCTGTACACGCTGACCTGTGATGACCTCTGAGATACTTTCGTAAGTAAAGGAGTCACAGCCTAACACAGAAGTGTTATATACTTATTTTTCTTTATAACAGAAAAGAAACTATGCTAATATGTGCATGGAAATTTCTAGAAGGACTCAAAAAACTGGTAATAGTGTATGGGGGGTAAGGGAAAGGAAACTAGAATCCGAGATAGAAACGAGACATTCTGTTGCATACATTTTGAATCAGCTTGAATGATTCTCTTATGTATATATATAGTTCTTTCAAATTAAAATTAGTTACAAAATTTTAAAAAAGATCACGCTCATTGGAAAAGTAACTATTTTCAAAGTGGCTGATCTTCTAGGGGCTGCAGAGACAGGGCTGGACCCGTCTCCCTCAGCTTGCCCCTCCCGTCCGTCGTTCACAGCTAATGCACACCCACCCTCTCTTTCCCCGGTGACACTGGGCAGCCACCAGCCCTGGAACACTCACTTGGGCTCGTGAGGCGGTCCGGACTGGTCAACCAGCTTGAACTCAGCAGCAAAGCCGTGGGAGCGGGCGTATTCTAACAGGCCGCCCACGGGGTTGGTGTTCAGGTATCTGACGAGCTCACCAATCCTCCTGACCTTGTTGGGCATCGCAGATTCCGAGTTATCAAACGATTCTGTGTTGGTACTTCCGGGCTGAAAGAGAATTAGCCAAACCAAGAGGGACCGACCATAAACACTTAAGGAAACTGAGGGATTCACGGGCAATCCTACACCATCCTGCTGCTAAAAACCACCCGTATCTTTCGAGTAGGGAGTGGCCCCACCTGGGTCTCGGAAGGTGTCGAGTTGGTCGCCTCCCCGTGCAGGGCCTTCATGGCTTCCTCCGCAGCCATCTGCTTTGCCACTTTCTTGCTGGGGGCACTTGCAGTGGGGAAAGTGTGGTTTCCCATCGCAACACAGTACTGGAACCTGGCAGGAGATGAAAGGAGAATTAAAACGGTTTCGATCTAAGAGACATACCTAGCCTTTGTCGGTTGTTATCCTGTAGGACTCGCCATTTCCTTGCACACATCACCTCTGTGCCTTGGCTCACGCAGCCACTTCTGCCTTGAAGAGCCGGTGCCTCTCTCCCTCCTCCTGCCCTTGTCTCGCTGAGTCTCGCTCACCCCTACTCAACACTGAGCACCGGCCTAGAGTCACCTCCTCCAGGAACCCTTCTCTTGCACATGTAAGTCTGCAGAGCCTCAGAGCAGAGCTTGTCACACGTATGCCCGGGTCCCGGACCATTTTGTCCCACCACCAATAGCCCCCGAGCCGTGCAGCTCCCCAGTGCTCGGTCCCTGCTTCGCCCTTTGAATTCCTAGTCCCAGACTCTTTGCCATGCCCTCAAGGCCCCCCGTCTTCCATATCAAACACAGGAGTGATCGCTCTGTGAAATAATCTGCCATCTCTGAGGAGGCAAAGAGGAGCTGCATCTCTCTCTCTTTTGAGAAAACCTCAGCAGAGATACATGATACAAGAGATGTACTTGGGGTCATGGGCAGGGCCTTCTCTGGATAGGAGGCGGAATTCACAGGAGCTCCCCAGCTTGTGCACACACTCAAGCAATGTGGTGACGGGGTTCTTCCCAGAAAAGAAGGAAGCTGCTGAAGGGGTGGTGGGCTGGGCCTCTGCCGTCTGGAGAAAATGAGAGACAAAGAAAAACAAAAACAAAACAAAAACAACTGAGAAAACATCAGCTAGTCCATCCGAGCAGAGGGAATGGCGACGGGAGAGTTTCTGTTGGCCAACTGCACGTGAAGGGCCGGTTCCCCCGAAGAAAGGACTGGGGGGACGTTCTACGCACTACAGGAGAGGGTGAGTTATTTAAATGTCCCGGGTCTCTTTTCTTATCTGGAGATGGGGCTTGATGATCTTTAATGTCTCGTGCAGCTCTGCAATCTGTAAGTCTACTTGGTCAGGGGGCGGGGGCGGGGGGCGGAGGGCAGAGGGGAGCTGGGCAGGAGCAGGCGAGGGGGGCCGGTGGGAGCAGCAGGCCACCGGCTCGGAGATGAGGAACCAGCCAGGAGGCCGAGACGGCCCCAAGAGGGCCAGCCCCGTCCTGAGCGACGCCCTCCCGGAGGGCAGGACACCCACCTTCTCCGGTTCTCTCTCCGTGGAGCCGCAGTTCACTTCTTCCGGTCTTCCGCCGTCCTTGGCTTTAGCTTCCTCAAGCAGGATTGTCATGGCTTTCATGGCTGCGTCCTGCTTGGCCACTTTCTTGCTGCCAGCTTCAGCTGGGGGAAACTCTCGGCCATTGATGACAACTTGGAATTTAAATCTTGACGGAAAGTGATTAGATGTGTGAACACTAGTCTAGGCCTCCCTTTTGCCCTCTCCAAAGAGATCTTCACCCTGGAACTCCTGCTACTCTAAGGGGCTTTTTGATTTGTGGAGGAGACGGAAGGTAGGCCAAGAGACTCCTGTCCCTTTGGAGGCTCGGCCTGTTGCTACTTTTTGGGAACAAAGCAGCCAGTGGCTGCCTCCCTACAGCTCGTCAGAGCAAACGTAGCCACAGGTGACATGGAACTAGCTCAGGGGACACCCACTGTCTCTCACCTCTCGGCAATGAGTCTGCACGAAAAGGATGAGGTAAAACCACCACATCACAGTCTTGTTAGCAACCAAAAAGCCTTCGCCCTAAAGCACCTGTGGTAGGCTGCCCGCCCCAAGGGCAGCGAGCGGGGCCTTGCGATGGGGCCTCACACCCCTGGGCCCCTGCCACTCCTGGGGGCCTGTTCTTGTCCCCAACCTGCCTACAGAGACACACCACTCGCTCGTGGTTTGAGTCATTCTAAAGGTCTGTTTGTCTGACGCCAGAGATGAAAGGAATTTCCCCGTTATGTAGAAAACCGAAAAGCGCTTGTTCTGGGCCTCTGGGCTAAACTTAGATTTCCTTTGTCCAAGCTTTCAAATTTGTTCAGCTCTTTGCTCAACCTGGGATTTCATTTAGAAAAGTAGGTCAAATTTCTCATTTCCTGGGTCTTCTGAAATATTTGAATATGGCACCAATGTTTCTTATAGCCGGAGTCCAAAGGAAGGTTAGCCACAAAACCCACTGCTTGTCCCCAACCCTGGGGAGGGGGCAGAGGAAAGAGAACAGCAGCCATCCAGTCTTTACCCCAAACGGAAAAGAACCGGCCCCGCCCTGCTAGCTTTCGGTCAGACACACCCCCTTCACGTGCCGGCTCCCCCGCAGTGACACTGCCGTGTCATTAAGACAGTCACAACAGGGGATGCAGGTCAAGCTGGGAACCCTCACCCTCAGAGACAGTCTAGGTTGCTCTCTCCTGTCCTCACTAGCCTCAGTGGGTTCAGCTTCCTGCTAGGCCCTGCAGCAGCTTCTTTGGGGCCCACCCGTCTTCCTCAATCTGTCCGCTGGCCTGCAGGAGCCTGGAGGAGGGGATTTCTTATTCACAGCTCAGGAGCAGCAGCAAGTGCTAGCCCAGCCATCTGTGCAGAGGAGGTATGCAAAATCAGCCAGCACCTCCAGGAGGCAGGCAGCTGTGCTCGCCCTACAGCGCCGTTTCCCTTCGGGGGCTGGGGGTGGGTCTGAATCCACTGCTGCTACAGCTCAGCTCGCCCTGGCTCTGGGTGTGCAGCCTGCCCCAACCCCTCCGTTCCTGCACTCTCGGGGACTCAGTGTCGGGAAGGGGGGAATGGCACGTGAAGAGATGCGGGAAGGGAGTCTGGTCTTTATTACTTCCGGCCTTAGCGGGCAGACACGATACTGATGCATGAAAGCTCATCCTTCCCCAGAAGCTTCATTCTAGCCAACAGGGTCAACCTCCCCCTTGCTCAGCCAAGATCCTGGCTGGTCCAACCCTACATTCCCTGCTCAAGAGCTACAGGAAGGGCCAACAAGGGTGCTTTTGCCAAAAGGCAGAGAAGAGGAGGGAAAAGACAGGGGCCACCACATGGCACTCTCACGAGTCAGCAGAGACTGCATCGGGAGCCAGAGCGCCTGACCCCAACCCTAGGCACAGTTCCTGGGGTCTCTTACCGAGGTTCATGGGGTGGTCCACTCTGCTCTATCAGGTTGAACTCACAGGTCTGACTAGCGAACTGAGCATATTCTAACAGCCCGCTGATGGGATTCTTCAGCTGGCACTCTGTCAGTTTCTTGTAGGGTGAACACCGCGGCAAGCCATGACTGTAGAAGGAGGGCATCTCCATGATGGCTCGAAACTCACCTGGGGCTGCGTGGATGCTATTCAAGTCATCGGGGATGTCATCTGTGGCCCACTGGCCATTTTCAAAGTCAACATACCCTGTTTTTGAGGGGCCATTGTCACGGACAGGTGGTTTCGGTTTTATTGGTTCTGGGGTGACATCCTGCTCCCTTTCTAACTTTATGACCGGTTCTTGCCCATTCTCCAGGTTTCCTGTGGCGACACTGTTGGAGGCATCTTGCACAGGTGAGTCACAAGGAGGGAGCTCTGCGCTTCCTTTGGTCTCAGGGACAGCAGCTTGAGGGGTTTCAGGGACACTGTTCGTATTTCTCTTGATTTGTATCCTCTCCCGCTTCTTGTCAGTCAAATACCAGATGGGAGGGGTTGTCCCTTGCCTGTAGACATCGCCCTGCCTTTCCAAGTCAATCAGCACGGCGTTGACGTCTCGGGCTTTCGTGAGGCCGATGTTTTTGGCCAAATTCAGAGCGGAGGACTGGAACACACTGAACAAGTAGTTGCAGATCTCCTCCCTGATCTCGGCCATGTCAGCAGGCTCAGAAGGGTCTTCCAAGCCGGACGTGGGGTCTCTGTCTTCAGCTTCCAAACCGGGGGCTGAGTCTGGAGCTCCCTGGCTACACCCGTCTGCTCTCGGTGCTTGACTGGGCTGGTTCCAGCGCGGGGCCGAGGCCGCAAGTCTCCACAGAGGGGGCCTTCCTGCCTCCTGATGCAGCGTGCCCTTCTTCGCTAGCGAGTACAAAATGCGATTGACTTCCTTCTTGGGGGCTTGGAGCTTCGCAGCCAGATCCTGCGCTGTGGTGACCCTCCCTTCGCCGAGCTCCTGAAAGAGCTCTAACACCCTTTGTTCCTGGCCCTGCAGGCCGATCCGCAGGTCCTGGAAGTGTGAGGAGAGCCTATCGACACCCCTCCATGGCAGAATCCTGCCGTGTGGGGAAGGAAGCTGGAATTCTCTCTGGAGCACCTGACTTCTGAGAGGTGCGCCCCTGGGGATACCCCAGATCTCCGGCTGCCTGCCTCTGGCAGGGGGTCCTGGAAACCTTGGCCAGAATTCAGGGAGGGGCAGCGGCAGGACTGGTGCCTGCTTTCCAATCAGAGGTACTTCTGGGAGCTGCCCCTTGAGAAACTCTATTTGCTGAAGCTGGAAACTGTTAGGATAAGATCCTGGTCCCGGCTGCTGGTGTCTGAGTTCACTGTGCACATAGCCTTGAGGTGGGCTGGGGTAGTATCTGTTCAGGAAAGGCCCCTGCAGAACAGGACGGAAGAGAATGTGAATTAGGGCTGCCGTGGTCAGCCGGGCCCTGCAGGTGGGGGGGGGGGCGCGCACTGCACCTGGTGGGACCCAGCCGGGAGGGCTTGCCCACCTTGTAGGCACTGCCTGTGGACCCAGCACAGGCGAGAGGGAGGCACAGGAGGCAGAACACAGGGCTCCCAGGAGTAGCGTGGCCTCTCCCGCAACCTAGCTCGTTCTTTCCCCTTTGGCAGAACTTTAGGGAGCTGAGAAAAATCTTCCTACTCATCAAAACAACTACCCTTTTCAAATCAGAAAAACAAACAGATGTTTTGTTTTAAAAAGAAACAAAAACAGGATAATAACCTAGACTGCAAAGGGAGCAGGGGCCCAGGGAACAGCCTGCAGCACAGACCCTCCCTCTGACCCCTCTGGATGATCAGAAGACACACAGGTGGAAGCCGGGTCTCCCCAGACAGCGGCAGAGGGAGCCTCCGCCCCTGAGAAGGGCAGCAGGAGTGCACAGGTTCATCTGCAGGTCCCTGCCAGAATTTGGTTTTAGAGCACTGGAAGATTCCTTTGAAAAAAAGTTACACTGTTTCCAGACTCGGTGTGGAGCTCAAGCTCAGAAGGGACGCTGGGCCCTTACTCCTTTCTTCCCAAACTACCCAGGTTCTCCTGGGCAAGTGGAGCCGGCAGGGCCTATTCCCGGACACCGCAGCCCCACGCTCCCATACTCCCCGAGTTCCCTGCTTCCACGGTGTGTCCTTCAGAACCCAGCTCCACAGGGCACAGGCACACCACGTCCTCACCAACTGCCATACAGTTACCAGGACGAGCCCTTGTGACCCCTTCCCCTCTCCCTTGTGGGGGTGGGGGCAGGAGGTACTTAGGGGACCCAGGGTGGGCTCTCGGAAAATACTTTGCTGACTCCCTCTGGGGCTTGCAGACCTGTGTGCGCCTGAGGGTGGAGGTGGGGCAACTGCTAGGAACAGTGTTCCCCACGACTGTCCCCCTTGTCCGAATCTCCTGAAGGCTCCAGGGGCCCTGCAGGCAGCTGTGCCCCTTTTTCGATGACTTCAGCCTTCTACTTCCCCACGCCCCTGATGCAATCAGGGGATTTCAGCACCCTGTGAATCCGGCCCACGGCGCCCTGGCTGTGGGCCTCCCGAATGACTGCCACCTGGACCCTTCAGCCACGTGACTGGCTGTTCTAGTTTCTCATTCAGTCTCACCATCAACTCTAGCTGTCGCCACCACCAAACCTCAAGCCCTCAAACTCTTTTCCAGGGGTCGGGACATTTTTTCTAGAAAAGGGCCAGATGAATCTTCTATTGTAGCACAAAAGCAGCTGTCCCCAATATGAAAACTGTTAGATGGGACAAAGGTCTCAAAGTCTAGGAAATTCTCAGTGTTATTTCTTGCTAAATGTTAAAATGTAGCCAAGTATTTTGCAGATACAACTGTAAATAGGAAGAGCAGACAGGAACTCAACTGGAATGAAAGTAGCCAACTGCAAAGAGAAAATTAACATGTAATTGACCAAACAGTGTGTATAAGGAATGGCTAAGCCTCCCTTGGGGAGGCAGAGCTTCTGATATGAATCCAGCCTCCTTTGCTGTTGGAAGTATAAATAAAACTATGTGGCGGCAACCACTTTCACTTTCGAACAGACCACCCTGAACCCCTAAGAGTTCAGTAACAAAACTTCATTTACAAAACAGGTGGAGGGCTGCACTTTGCTGACTCCTGCTGTTTTTCTGATGGAAACTTCCCCGTTCCTACAACTTCCTCTCCTTATTCATGTGATCCCCACGTAGCCACGGGTCAGCCAGTCCCGCTCAACACCACCCTGGCTCCACACACCTCCTCGTTCAGCCTGGATGTCGTGGTCGGTTCCCTTACCCACCCAAGCAAGGCCCACTGTCCCCTTTTTCTTTTCCAAAGGGTCCACACGGTGTTGGAGAAGGACACTGACAAAAGGGGTCACATAAATTCCTCCTCTTGAACTTCAGGTTTTCACTTCTTCGGTGGTCAGTTCAGTTCAACATTGCTTCACTGTGGGCTGAGCTCTGTCCTTTAGAAATTACCCCCCCCCCCCAACCACCACAGTTTGGTGGCAGCATCGAAGGTCTCCTTTCACCCCTCTTTACCTTCTGTCTGTCCTCGGCCCTTTCTCCTGCCCCTCACACGCAACTGGTCCCCAGGGCTTTGTCTCAGGGCTGCCTCTTCCTTCCCTGAGGTGATTCCATCCACTCCCTCAACCTAAACCAGCCCTCTTAAGAAACTGTTCACATTGATCATCTCCAGCCACCATGTTATGCTGAAGCTCAAGACTGAATTTTTAAACGCCTAAACAATCTGTCCACTTAGCTATCCTTGCCATTTCCTCAAATGCCCCAAATTCTGACTGGATGAGTCTTCCCCCCACCCCCACCCCTCCTGCTGCTGTTCTCATTACTGTTAGCAGCACCCTTCTCCTTCTAGTCATTAAGGCTAGAAACCTGAGTCCTCTCTGCTGCCTGCCTGCCTTCCTCCGAGTCTCCAACATCTAAAAATCAGGTAGTTGCCAAGTCCTGTGTTGTCTGCCACCTCCGTATTTGCCCGTAAGTGCATTGCCTACAGTTCTAGCCCCTCCTTACCTCTCACCAGGGCTACCGACCTAGGACAAGAGCCTCTCACCTTTCCATCCCTCTGCATGCCAATCCAGTGGGCCTGCTTCTCCCTCTATGACCACCTACTGCAAGTCCAGCCTCTCCCTTGCAGATCTCCTGAAAGCGTTCTCCAGGAGACTTCTGCCTCCATCTCCTCCCGCCTCCTGTCTTTGAACTCCTCCTACTCAGCACGTGTTACAGTGCTTACTTTACCTTTTATCATAGCTACTAATGTTTTTATATCTCATTTTATTTTTATTTTGTTATTTTTTAATCCTCACTTGAAGACATTTTTTTCCCTTGCTTTTTAGAGACGGGGAGAAGGGAGCAAGGAAGGGAGAGATGGAAACATCGACATGAGAAACACTGAATGACTGGCTGCCTCTCACTCGTGCCCAGACCAGGAACGGAATCCGCAGCCCTGCGGTTACGGGATGAGGCTCCAACCACCTGGGCCGCACCGGCCCGGACAGCTACTGATTTTGTAAATGGCACACATATATAGATTGCAATACATTTGAAAGGTGATTAACAACAGTAGGTGCCCTAGAAACTACTCCCAATTACTCCCAATATTCCTCACATGGTACTGACGGGGGCTCCGTCAGCTCCACGGTGCGCTCCCGGGGGAAAGGACCACGCACGCTTGGGTGGTCTCCGCACCCCCAGCACCGAAGAGAACACCTGGCACAGGGCTGGTCCCAAACCAACATCTGTGGAACTACAATTGCACAAACAAGACACCCCTACGCCGCAGCCCCTTCTCCCTTGTCCCTCCTGCTGCATACACACAACCGTCCCCACCGCACTGCTGAGAGCCGAGGTGTGTGTGCGAGCCGGGAGCCTGGCCCCGGGAGCTGAATTAGGAGGGTTTCTGTGCTGTTCTCATTAGTTCTTAGAGTGACCTCGGTCAAAATAACTGTTTCAAAGTGGCTAAAGTCAGTTCCTAGCTAAATGCTTTCTAGATTTAAACTGCGTCTACCTGCAAAACATTTGCATGTTCATCTACGTGAAAAGAATAGAATTGTGACAAATTCATGCTTTGGAAAAGTACTCAGTTTTTATAAAAAAAAGTGTTGCAATCTATTTGTATTCACCTGGAGAAAATTTAGGAATGATATAATGTTAAATTAAACGGCAATAAAAAAGCAAGCTGCAGAGGAACATGTATGCTGTAACCCACCTTTTTGTAAACAAAAGAAAACCCCCATGAATACGCATGTGCGTGTACACGCCAGAATGAGCACAGAGAAAAGAAGGCTACATTTGTTAACAACTGTTATTTTAGGGAAAGATTAGAGGGAGATTGTTAATTTTTTCTCCCCCCTCCCCCACACCCAAGGCCCCTGGGAAGCCAAGCCAAGCCGACACTTGAAAATAATCGCCATTTGGAGATTTGCTGCACGGGAGTGAGAGCAAGAAAGTGGGAAACCAACTTGCACCATGGTTCCTAAATCCCTCGACATCCCTCCTCACTTGCTTCACACCTGCTTATCACGCAAACCGTGTAACGGCCGCTGCGCACTTGCTGCCCTGCAGAGCTGCACTTCCGCCCAGTCTCACGTGTCGGGGGTCACGAGAGGAGCCCCCACGTTCATCACACGGGCCCCGTAGGGCAATACACTAGGAGTGCGAAGACTGCTTTTCCTTCAAGTAGGATGTCTCCAGCTCTTTCACAGCAGGGACACACACCTATGTGCACACGTGTACGTGTGTATATTGTACGATTGTGGAGGCATTTATAAGGCTGTGTGCTTTGACTCAAGTCAAAACTCAGAATTAAACACTAAAAAGGGTAAGCTTCACTGTATGTTAAATTTACCTGATTTTTAAAGACATATATAAAACACATATGAAGTGAGTTGTAATACAAATAATAGTTAATAAATAATAATACAAGAATAAACTGTTCCCTGTACTCACAACTGTAAACCTACACTTGCCCGCTCTGGTCGATATCTCTGTTCTTCACACACATATGCATGCATACATGTACATGTGTTTTATACACAGGGTCTGGCACAAGTAACACCCCTTTGTATTATGAAATCTTGTACTACACAATGATAAGCATGTAATTCTGAAACAGAACAATGTCACACTCAAGCACACCATATGACATTTCAGGTGAATTGTTCAAATTGAAATTATGAATTATTACACCCATATCATTACCCCATCAACCACACTCAAGCAGGTGTTACCTGTGGGATCCTGTATATTTTTTTTAAATGGAGGTAAATTAACAAAGAGTAAAACTTACCCTTTTTAGTGTATAATTCTGAGACTTGACTGCATAGAGTCAGAGCACATACAGCCTTATCACTACCACCGCAATCAAGACACAGAATATTTCCCTTTCCCAAAAACGTTTTCCCTACTCTGCAGCAAACTCCTTCTGCCTCCAACCAGACCCCAGCACCCACACCTGGGTGCTGTCCTATGGCTTTCTTTTTTCCAGAACAAAGCTAAGGGGACGCACACAGCACGCAGGCCGTGCCTTAGTGCAGAGCATCGCGGGTGCCCCCGTGCTGTCGCATCACCAGCCTCTCCTCCTTCCTCTGGCCAAGCGGTAGTCCATCACACCGCCGGACGCCCCCCATCTTTTTTTTTAAATCCCATCACCTGTTGAGGGACATTTGGGTTTTTAGCCATGATGAATAAAGCTGCTATAAACTTTCTCCTGCAGGTTAAGAAGAGTGGGTTTTAATTTCCCAAATGCCTTCAGGAAGTTTAAAGGGCGCAGAGAGGAGATTGCTAGAAGTAAAGCATGTTGTCTAAATGGGACTCAAGGGCGGCCGGGGGCGTGCCTCGGAGGTCCAACCAGCAAGGGAGAGGGACTCTGCCTCGACTTGGGCTCAGGCCTCGCTCCTCTGACGGAGGTGCAGCCCCCTCACGGCCCCTCTTGCTCACATCGCTCAACACGGCACTATGATTAGCAGGATACAAAGTACGAGAACAGCAACTCTGCTTGGAAAGAAAACACACGCGCGTGCGTGCACGCGCACTCACAGAGCACACAGACCAAGGGCTGAAACGCGAGCGCACCAGCGGTGGGCCAAGGCGCCGAGTTCTGGGGGGCCCACACTTACCTGCCTCGGGTCCATGGCGCCCGGGAAACATGTCCGGGCAGCGCGACCCTCCCCGCGGTGGGACCCTCCCCGCGGCCACCGTTCGTTTCCAGGGGCCAGGCTTCCGCTCGTGGCTTCGCAGAAAAGGGGGTGTCGGTGGAGTCCAGACAGGAAACACCCCTGGGCCAGGCGGTTGGTGAACTGGCTGTGAAATGGCTCCGGTTCAATTTCACTTTCGTTTCTCGGGAAGGACAGCCCCTTTGGAAAGTTTGGCCAAGGGGAGGGGCTTGAGCACAGCTAACAGAAGCTGCCTGGTCTCAGCCGGTTATAGCTCCAATCCTTCCTTTCAGAAATCCTGGGCAGGGTGCTCTTTCTTTTGGAAAACATCTGTAAATACTGAACTAAGAATGCTACTAAGCGGCCCTCTCAGGTATGCAAGGGAAAAAGCAAAGGAAAACAAAGACGCACCAGGAAGCCCCACACTGGAGAAATGGCCTTAGGCTCCCTCTGCTGTCGCCCTGGCCCCGCACTACCGACCTTGAATCCCTAATGTGGCAAGTGGTGGGGTAGGGTTGAGGGCAGATCTCTTACATGGTTAACATTAACATAGGATTAATATTATGAACAGACATGAACTGGTAATAGCCACTAAAATGCAAGACAATGACAGCAACTGAACAATTTAGGATCTACGTCATAAAACCTACCCGCTGCCACCATCCAGCCATCTCAAGGAGGGCACACACCCCCTTAATCTTCACACAGCTTTACCTGGTAGACAAGATCCCCAAGTCACAGAGGTGGGGAGTGAGGCTTTCCAGGTCTGGCTGTGGAAAACCACCATCGCACTCGCTCCAGTGACAGCCCGACTGTCCGAAAGGTCGCTTGTATTATCTAGAGGCGAAACTTCAGTTGATTTTGTGACCAGGCTCATGTGTCTGCTCTACTTTGCTCAAGATACCTAGAAAAAATTCTATGGATCAGCCCCAGTGCTCAACAAACCCTCACCTCTGAACATTTCCTTTTTGTGTTTAATTTTATCCCCACTGCTTTGGAGACCTCCAAGGCAGTCCCTCTCCAGCGTTACCACCAGCTGATGTCCCTTCTCCACTCTCCTCCTATTCCAGTCACCCTAAGTGTCAGTCGCCCCAGACTTCACATTTGGCTTGGCTGTGTTCTTTCCTGCTTCCCTGTCTTTGCACATTCTGTTCCCTGGTGTATACTGTGCTTCCTGCACTGCTTCTGGTGCAACAGTCTTTGAAGATCTGTTTCAGCTATTACCTCCAAGGGAGCCTTTCCTTACTTTAGGTTGGGGGAGCAGGTGCAATTTGTGGTCCCTCATTTTGCGTTTCTCTGCACTTACCCTACTAGACACTTTCACCATCTCAGAACACAGCTCATTCAGTCTGAGCGCCTGACACGTGCTGGACATGTGTTCAGTACGGAGGACCTGACACGCATGAGAGCCCCCATCTCCCAGCTAAGAGTCAGCCTGGTGGGGAAGACTGTGGCTGATGGCGCTGGGGGGCGGACACATATACAGCTGCTTCCCAGTGGTTCATTGTCACGCACTCACTCTTTCTGCGCTACGTCATAATTTTATAAGGTGAAGAACAAGAACAGACTCTTGCTATAACAATTCCAGCCTATCTCCCCATATTGTTTTCCATTTTTCCATTGTTTTCAAATAAGTTATGTCTTACCTCTGCTACCTTGCCTTTGGGCTAAACAACACCACAGCTCTTAACCCTTCTACAAGAATATTCCAGAAAAGCCTTAATCATAGTTGGGCAGGGGAAAGCCTGCTGCTGCTGCCCTGTCCCTTTTATAATCTAACATAGGACGCAGTGGCAGAGCAGAAGGGAGATTTGTCTTCTAAGCAGAGGGTCAGTTGGGCCTTGAAAGAACAACTGCTCTTGTAATTTAATCTTAGCAGCTCAAGTAACCGCAGCCAGTCTCATTCATAAACATTTCAACTTCCACCGCCCCCAGCAATTGCTTTGGGGTCCACAGGGTTGTGAGGTGGTGACCCGTGAACCTTTCTGCTGTTCTGTTGTATGGGCTTGATTAAAAAAAAATTAACCAGGACTTCTGGCCAAGATGGAGGCATAGGCAGACACACTGTGCCTCCTCACACAACCAAGATAGGGACAACAATAATTTAGAAACAGAATAACAACCAGAACTGACAGAAAGTTGAACTGTATGGAGGTCAGACAACCAAGAAGTTAAAATAGACATGTTCATCCACACCGATAGGAGGGGCAGAGTCGGGCAGCCGGGCATGGGTCACGGCACGGAGAACAGAGTGTTGGGACCGGGCTCGTAAGGCATCCTGGGCGCTCAAGACCGCAGCAGATGGACCCTGAGTGCACAAGCGCCAGTTGGCAGACCCTGGCTGAAGGGTGGCAACCAGCAGACCCAGGGAGCTGGGGATTGTTAAGCAAGGCACAGCACACAACCCAGGATCCCAGCACCGGGAAATAGAGCCTTGGGGCACTGACTGAAAACACCTGTGGGAGTTGAGGCGCAGGGAGAGACTCCCAGCCTCACAAGAGAGGTCCTTGGAAAGTCCCATGGGGTGCACAAACCCACCCACACGGGAATTGGCACCAGAGGGGCCCAGTAGCAGAAGAGACTGAGGTCCGACGGAGAGTGGAGCAAGCGCCATTGTTCCCTCTCGGACCCCGCCCCCACATACAACGTCACAACCCAGCGACTAGGGTACCCCGCCCTGGTGAACACCTAAGGCTCCGCCCCTCAATGTAACAGGAGCGACCAGACCAAAGGAAGAAAAAAAAAAAGATGGCTCAAACAGAATGAAAGCCCCACAGGCAATACTCTTAAGCGACTGAAAGAGAGCCAACCTATGAGATGCACAGTTCAAAGCACTGGTAATCAGGATGCGCACAGAATTGGTTGATTTTGGTCACAAATTAGACTAACAAATGCAGGCTACGATAAGAGAAATGAAGGAAAATGCACAGCGAACTAATAGTGATGGGAAGGAAATTGGGACTCAAAACAATAGAGTGGACCAGAAGGAAGAAAGAAACAACCAAACAGGAAAGAATGGAGAAATAAAAATTCAAAAAAAAAATGAGGAGAAGCTTAGGAATCTCCAGGACATCTTTAAACATTCCAACATCCAAATTATAGGGGTACCAGAAGGAGAAGAGGAAGAGCAACAAGTGGAAAAGTGATCTGAACAAATAATAAAGGAGAACTTCCCCATTCTGGCAAAGGAAATAGACTTCCAGGAAGTACAGGAAGCTCAGAGAGTCCCAAAGAAGTTGGACCCAAGAAGAAACACACCAAGGCACATCATAATTACATTAGCCAAGGGAAAAATGAAGGAGAGAATCCTAGAAGCAGCAAGAGATAAGGGGACAGTAACCTATAAAGGAGTTCTCATCAGATTGTCAGCTGATTTCTCAAGAGAGACCTTCCAGGCAAGAAGGGGCTGGAAAGAAGTATTCCAAGTCATGAAAGGCAAGGACCTACATCCCAGATTGCTCTATCCAGCAAAGCTTTCACTTAGAATGCAAGGGCAGATAAAGTGCTTCTCAGATAAGGTCAAGTTAAAGGACTTCATTATCACTAAGTCCTTATTTTATGAAATGTTAAAGGGACTTATCTAAGAAAAAGAAGATAAAAACCATGTATAGTAAAATGACAGCAAACTCACAATTATTAACAACCACACCTAAAACAAAATAAAAACAAACTAAGCAAACAACTAGAACAGGAACAGAACCACAGAAATGGAGATCACATGGAGGGTTAGCATCAGGGGAGTGGGAGGAGAAGAGAGGGGGAAAAGGTACGGAGAATAAGTAGCATAGATGGTAGGTGGAAAATAGGGGGAGGGCAAGAATAGTATGGGAAATGTAGAAGCTAAAGAAATTATGACACATGGACATGAACTAAAGTGGGGGAATGTGGGTAGGAGAGGGTGTGCAGGGTGGAGGGAAATTAAGGGGGGTAATAGGACAACTGTAATAGCATAATCAATAAAATATATTTTTTAAAAAAGGTAAAAGAAGTAAAAAAAAGTTGATTAGAGAAAATTCCAGAAAATACAGAAAAGCAAACAGTCAAAATGACCCCTCCCCCCCCTCCCCCATTTGTGGACCAGTGCCTTCCCTTCCTGTGCTGCCCCCATGCACAAAGGCACCGGGAACATGCTCCTCGACTACTTTGGGGAGCTCCCGTTCCTGGGGTCTGAGCGCGCCTGCTGCCCCGCTGTGCAGTAACCGAGCGCTATTTACTAACCACCACCTAAATGGTTTCAGAGTTACCATCTAAAATAAGGTGAGCATGAAAAAGCCCCTCACTCCAACTCTGGCTTTCCCGTAACGCTGCCAAGCTCCGGCTCCGTATGTGCCTTCAGGGGCCTGGACATCCCCCTTATGGGGAGGACGTTATCATCTGGCTACTGGTCTGGTTTTAGTTTCCAATCCCTGCTATTCTTGCCTTTTCACCATAAATAACCATTAGTCTGGCTTGTTGCAGATCTTCTGTTTAACCTCACTGTGTGCAGGGAAGGGGATTTACAAGTCTTTTTAGTCTACGGCTTCGTATACCAGACTACTGCACATATGGGCTGCATCCAGCTGGATCGTCTGCTCCCTCTGGTAAGGCAGATGTCTGCAGGCCCCTCCAACACTTGCTCACACAGGGATGCGGCAACGGAAATGCGCTGCCTGTGAATGTGTGCTACTACACTGGCAACGTATCACCAAAAGGCAATAGAGCGCTGAGTTATTTTTAGTTCCCAGGTCATTGTGTTAGAAAAGGATGCGCACAGGAATAAACCCTTGTTCTTATCTTTAGTCCAAGGTGATATGTGCACATAATATACATAATCAGCAATTTGCAGGGTTGCCAGGCACCAGTTTATTGTCCTCCTTGTTTTGTTGTTTCTTTTCATTTCTTTATCTTTGGGTTTTTTATTCCATTGTAACAGTTCATGCTGCATCAACATAATGTCAAAATCCTCAGGGTCTTCCCCCAGTAGCCCCCACTTGCTTTGGTGATCGGTAAGGCTTTCTGCAGACAGAACAGTGAGTTGGGCAACTGCCTGAGTAGTGCTCCGTGGCTGTGTTTGTGCTTGTGTATATACTCCACTGATGTTAATGACCAGACTGGCTTTTGAAGTTACAAGAAACAAGAGATGCCTCAGGTACCCCCAGGACAAACAGGTCTCCAAAGTGG